CAATCTACCACTTAAGTACAGGTACTGAATGGAGGCTGGCCCACACCTCGAAGTGCAGCAGTTTGCATGTTTGTCAAAAAGCATTTTGCGCATCTTCTTGCAAGCTTCCAAGGACCCAAGTTGGGTTTCAGAAGGGTCAGGTCTCACCAAATGCGGCTTGCTTAATGAGGGGCTTGTGCTTTGGAACAAACGGGCTACTTTTTCAGGATTTGGTCATGAGTCATGACTCCTTTGGGCTGATCTTACTAAAACTGACGGAATGAGGGGGAAGAGACATACACAAAGAAGCTAGTCAAGGAAGGATTGACATGGCTTGCAAAAAATGTCAAGTTAGGCCTGCTCCCCAAACCGAGATGGAATTCACGCGGCGGCCAATACTGGCCCTCACCTGGAAGGAAGGAGCTGGAAGCCTGCGGGAAACAGCTGTTTCAAGCACCCGCACATAAAATCTGCAAATCCGTCCGACAAAACGATGCCTCGCAAACTTGGCCCTTCTTTGGAACAGGATCTGAAATCGTTGGCCAACCTCTCACAAGCCATAATCTTATTGTGAGGGCCACGACCCGTTTTAATGAACTGACAATTTGTCTGCACATGCCTAGATGGACAGCATACACTTTGCACTTCCTTGGGTCAAACCCGTGCTAACAACAAGTTTTAACCGCGATTCTCGAGCATCTTGCTTTGACCTCCAACATTCGATCAACATCAGGGTCACATGTTGGGTTTACAGGGAAAAATCTGAGACGGTCGCACATGTTCTCAGCAAGCCTGATCTCCAGGCAAATCGCCAGAAGCTGAGAGCCAAAAAAACCTGCTCATGCAGCGTGTTCCAAAATTCTTCGAGAACAACAAGTTTGCGAGGCTTAGTTGGAGGATGTTGGAGAATGGAGTCGCAAGTGTTTTTCTTGAAGCCTTAGTGGCCTCAGTGGCCTTCATTCTCTGAGGCCTCGCGGCCTCCCTGGGACAGTTTGACCGCGGTTCAAAGCTGCCCAGATTGGAGAGCTTGAGAGCTCTGGGACATATCAACAACGGAAGTATCAATCAGACACCAATAGTTTGCCGATGGCTGAAAGCTGTTTTCTATACCTGACATGTTGAGGAACATGGGATCACAGATTCAGTGCCCGCTCCGGAGCAACCATTGCCATTCAGAAAGCATAAGCAGGCCCTATTTCGTGCAAAATGCAGAAGAATTATTCTTTGAACTCATCAGGACATTTTACATCCAGAACTCCCAAGCCCCGTGCTATTGTGGTACCTTTCAGGTTTGATGCAACCCGCTCTTAGATTACATTGCATATAGACATATGAACAGGCTTACTATTGGAAGCGACTGTCCAGTCGGTCTGTGGATTGGTTCAAGTGGCCCCCTTCTGTCGCCATTACTCTTGCAGCAGCCTCGTGTCGCGGGTTTTCTCTTTGGTGCTGCCTACTCATTGCAAAACTACTTTCGCAAACCTTCACGGCTGGCTGAGTTTTTCGTACATTGTTGCGGCCGGCTGAGTTTTTCATACATTGTTGCGAAGTTAATGCATTTGAGGAACCGTGGTTTTAGTTCTTGCGAAGGTATGCTACTTGAACCGCCCTTCATCCGAAGACTTTTGGGTGTATGGATGCTGCTCGGATGGCTTCTCTCCAGTAGGGAACTGGCAGCACTGGACGACAATTTTCTTGGCAGAAGCACAATTCGTTTCGTGGTGCAACTGATGTACAACGCAAGTACAGCCAAGGGACTTGGAGTCTAGAAGGCATCCAGAGAATGCGAGTCCAACGGATATACCTTTGGTTTCAACTTGTCAACGAGGCAAAACACGCCTCTTCCTGCACTTTTTTGTCACAGTATACCGCTGCTGGGCAAACGATGCACAAATGTCGAATCAAATCTCAATCGCTACGAGTCTGGGATCGAGCTGCTTAGTTTCACCTGCTCCATGAGATTGAGAAAATGCCAAGCACCTGGGGCGAATGTGCCACACCCTTGACACTGATGGCAAAACACTCGCCCGAGGCTGCTGAAAGCCAAACGCTACACCAAAAACACAGAAGGTCGAGACAGAAAAATCTGATTACACCCTTACCACCTAATTAAATTTCTTGCAGCGCGTGAACTTGATGAGATAGAAGTTCAGCAATGTGTGAAACACAAACAAAAACAAAACACCTTTCTCACTTTCCCATACCATAACCGTGGAAGAAGATCAACATGACAAATCATGTTGCGTCTGCGAAATCTCGTACTGGCAAAAGACTTCAAGTCGTCTTCAAGAAGCCAATACGCTAAGCTGCAAAGTACAGGGATCAAACCTGCGTCGTGACAACCGTATCCTGAATTAGGGAAATAATGGCCTCAAACAGTTTGACCTTGTCACAGGTCAGTCAGATCAGTCCTAGTTATTTCACTCACAGATATGCGGAGTAACATCCCATCAGCGCACCAAGGCCCAGGTTCCAGCAGTAGGGCAAGCTGAAGGTGCCCAGGTAAAGGAAGCAGGTCACCAGCCTTCAACGAAAAAAAACTGTCATGCCATGCCTCACCTCTCAAAAAAAGGGGCTGGGGCTTGGCCATGCCTTTGTTTCATGTTTGAAAAAATTCGGTAGCTGGTTTCAACCCTGAAAAGTATGCTCGTCATTGGGGATCATCATCCCAGTGCGAGCCCGCGCAGTCGAAATGCACATCAACATGTCACAACAGCCACTTTATGCGGAAATTTACAGGAAAAATGCCGCTGCACCGAACCGCGCCGCACACTTTGTACGAGCCTGCGCAGACGAAATGCACATCAACATGTCACAAGAGCCACTTTATATGGAAATTTACAGGAAAAGTGCTTACCAAGTCCGGAAAGTGTTTTTTGGGCTCAAGACTCAAGACCCTGTGAATCCATCTGACTCGGAAGAACGTTCTCATCAAGCCTGGTTCTGGCTGCTACCCATGGCACACGGCAGCAACGCCCGGCCTGCCAACCCAATCATCCCCGAACCCTAAGTGTAGTGGCAGGTGGACTTGCCGGATTTCCACCATTACGAAGTCCTGCCTTGGGCACAACAGCTAGTCTCTTCGGGCGGAAGCCACATGCTTGTGAAATATGTGAATATGTTCAGCCAGAGAGTGAAAGCGTCGCGAACATAATATGGACGAATATGTACGATATCATTTTGGACCATTGCAGTCTCACTGAACACTGCAGGTTATGTATGTTGTTTTTTGTGGCGCAAAAGCGCCTCGGATCGTAAGGCAACTTGATTGCCTCGAAAAAGAAAACGTCCTGCGTCCGAGGCACCAATCTAAGAACCCTGCTCCAGAACCTCTTCCAAGTCAAAGAATGTGGGCTGCAGTTGATTGCCCAAACAGGTTTGAAATGTTTGAAGACCAGCAGCTGTTCTCAAAAATCCGTTCTATGATCTACATGTGCATAGATGGGAATATTATCCCGGCAAGAGACCCCAAACAGTGTGGGGGGGTGGGAGGATCATGTATGATAATGTTGATGATGATGTTGATGATGATGATGATGGCGATGATGATGATGGTGGTCATGATAATGATCATGATCATGATGATGAGAATGACGATGAGGATGAGGATGAGGATCAGGATGATGATGTTGAGGATGATGAGGTGCGCGGGGATGGCAAATGAATAGGTTTTTGCCAATTTACCGTGACGATGGCAACGAGTAAAAGTTTCTGTGTGTAAAAGCTCTTCTGTGTACATTTTTTTCTATGTAAATGTTTCTGCATGTAAAAGTTCTTCTTTGCAAAAGCTTCTGTGTGTCAAAGTTCTCTGTGTAACAGCAGCGGCTCTTGTGTGTAAAACAAAAATTCTTCTGTGTAAAAGCTCTTCTAGGCTCTTCTGTGAAAAAGTTTCTCTGTGTAAAAGTTAATCTGTGTAAAAGTTTCTGTGCGTATTTTTTTCTGTGCGAAAAAAAATTCTTTGTAAAAGCTTCTGTAACAGCTGTGTAAAAGTTTTCTATGTAAAAGTTCTTCTGTGTAAAACCTGTTCTGTCTAAAAAATTCTCTGTGTAAAAGTTTTTCTGTGTAAAAGTTCTTGTGTGTAAAAGCCTCTGTGTGTAAAAACTCTTCTGTAGCTCTTCTGCGTAAAAGTTTCTGTGCGTAAAAGCTCTTCTGTGTAAAAGTTTCTCTGCGTAAAGGTTTTTCTGTCTAAAAGTTTCTCTGTGTAAAAGCTCTTGTGTGTAAAAGTTTCTCTGTGTAGAGGCTCTTCTGTGTAAAAGCTCTTCTGTGTAAAAGGCTCTTCTGTGTGCAAAAGCTCTTCTGTGTGTAAAGGTTCTTCTGTGTAAAAGCTCTTCTGTGTGAAGGTTCTTCCGTGCAAAAGCTTCTGTGTGTAAAAGTTCTTCTGCGTAAAAGCTCTTCTGTGTGTGTGTAAAAGCTCTTCTGTGTAAAAGCTCTTCTGTGTAAAAGCTTCTGTTAGTAAAAGCTCTTCTGTGTAAAAGTTTTTCTGTGTAAAACCTTCTGTGTGCAAAAGCTCTTCTTTGTAAAAGCTCTTCTGTTTAAAAAGTTTTGTGTGTAAAAGCACAAGCTCAGCTCTTCTGTGTAAAAGCGCTTGTGTGTAAAAGCTCTTCTTTTTGTAAAAGCTCTCTGTGCAAAAGCTCTTCTGTGTAAAGCTCTTCTGTGTAAAATTTTCTTCTGTGTGTAAAAGCTCTTCTGTGTGTGTAAAGGCTCTTCTGTGTAAAAGCTCTTCTGTGTAAAGGCTCTTCCGTGTAAAAGCTTCTGTGTGTAAAAGCTCTTCTGTGTGTAAACGCCCTTCCCAGAACCGCGCGCCACACTTTGTGCAAGCCTGCGCAGTCGAACTGCACTTGGACATTGCACAAGTGCCACTTCATACGGAAATTTACAGAAAAAATGCCGCAGACCAAAACCGCGCCGCAGACTTTGTGCGAGCCTGCGCAGTCGAAACGGACATCAACATGTCAGAAGAGCCACTTTACACGGAAATTTACAGGGAAAAGGCCGCCGGACAGAATTTCGCCCGGCCATCTTCAGTCTTGGCGTCCGGAAAAGGCGAAAGCCCTTTTTGGAGGTTTCACAAATCGCACAGTTGGGATCACCCGATTCGCAACCAACTCCTCGAAGAAGAAGTAGGTATGACCCACCACGAGTCCAAGAAGCTGGTCCTGAAAAGGGAAAAATTCCCCCCAAAGTCGTGTTCGTCGTCGTCTCAAAGTACTTTCCAATCAGCCACATCTTGGATGATCATCATGCACCCCACTTGCTGTCGGAATTCTCCAGGGTTGACGCTGACTCTAGATCTCGTACTCTTCATTTATCATGAGATTTGATCCTGGACGTTACCTCCCAGGAGAACCAACGGCAAAAAAATATGCCATCTGCGAAAAAAATCTCTCTTAGTTCGGCTTTCTCCACGTGCCTCCCATCAGAAGGGATAGAGAGAACCTCAGCGAGGCAATGTTCTGAAATGGACAAAAAATATATATATGGAAAAATAGATTGATTTGGGCCGGTCTGGTATACCATTCATCATTTCATTGTGCCTCTGATGTTTTGGAAAGGTCTACACATCACTCTACAAACCACTGTAAACAGAAATATGATGATGATGTTTCCCAAGTGAAACTGAGGGCTGGCCAGTAGGACAAGGCACCCAGGGCAAATAGGGCGTGCGGATGGTGAAAAACAGCACCTGGCACCATGTTTGTGATCTGGTTGATTGACCACGGGTCGAAAGCCATGTTCAAAAATCTCCCAGTGATCGCAAACAGCACACGCCCTTCAATCACTGGTAGCCTTGGGGCCTTGGGGATCACATTCGCATGACACCATCTGCAACCAACAACTCGTGTACCTGCATTCTTGCCGTTGGAGTCCGCTGGCCCCGAGATATGTCATGAGGTCAATCAGTGCTCCACTCACAAAGTACCTGGCACTGCAACAGGCGTGGAGTGGAACTTTGTTCAAAACTCTGATTAGAAGTTTACAATCCCCGGTATTTGGTATTTGGTCATCAGATTGGTAGGTCAGAAGACTCTCAGGGTCTAGAATCTGGATGTCTGAAGGAATCTCAAAATGACAACCAGCTATCCTAGAACTGGGTCATTGATGAGCGTGTTGCAAGATTCTTTGTCAAGGAGTTTTCAGAGGTAGCGCATGCACTAGTGATACCTACTCTTTCTGTTTGGTGCCTGAATCACATATCAAGCCTGCTGGGTCGTAGCCATAAGCAGGCACTCAGTCCTTCTGTGTTAAAAATCTGATGAGAAACATGGCGCACTGGCTCCCAAACAAGTAGGCCAGCACCACAATCATACCTCTCCACAACCGCAAGTCGTGTGAGTTGCTGCATGTTGCCGCAGCAAGAACAAGAGCCATGTCGACAAGAAGCGCATTTTATGCACAGCGCCTGTGCTACAGACCAGCATCCACAGGTACTCGGCCGATTTTCTTTGAAAGGCCACATCTTCCAGCCAGGAGCAATAGTGTACCTCTGTAACATTCAGGGTCTGCTCAAGATCACTTAAAGTCAAGACCTCACACGCTTTGCAACCGCCATGTCCATAAAGCAGCCCGACCCTGTTTTCCTCTTGCTGGATGCTGTTCGCATGACGCCGCTGCATCACCTGTCACAGGGATGACGCAAAGAATGCGAAGGAGGGATGATAACAAGAATCTAGGATTCCTAGAAAACAAAATTAGGGGCTCCGCAGTCCCTGGTCCTCTGGTCCCCTGGTCCTCTCGTTCTATTGGTCCTCTGGTTCTTTTGGTCCCCTGGTCCCTTGGGCTTTTGGTCTCCCATCCACACAGGCGAAAGTTGACTCACACACACAGGCGTTTTTGACTCACACACACAGGCGAAAGTAGGGTCACACACACAGGCGTTTTCATTAATGAACCCACAACCACCATGAACATGGGGTGGGGTGGGGTGGGTTGGTCTGGGGTGGGGGTGGGGGGGCAAAAACTGCATTTCGCTTGAACACACGCACTGGAGCGGGGTCGCTTCGGTTGGGTGGGGTGGGGTGGGGATAGTTCACTTTCGCCTTGCAAACACACGCACTGATCTGGGTTGGCTTGGTTGGGTGGGGGTTGGGTGGCTGGGGTCGGGCTTTGGTTGGGTGGGGTGGGGTGGGGTAATAACGTTCAGTTTCGCTTGCAAACACACGCACTGAGCTGGGGTTGGGCTTTGGTTGGGTGGGGTGGGGTGGGGTAATAACGTTCAGTTTCGCTTGCAAACACACGCACTAAGCTGGGGTCGGGCTTTGGTTGGGTGGGGTGGGGTGGGGTGGGGTAATAACGTTCACTTTCGCTTGCAAACACACGCACTGAGCTGGGGTCGGGCTTTGGTTGGGTGGGGTGGGGTAGGGTAACCTTCTCCGCTGTTATGCTCATTGTCTCCTTGGCAGTGCGTCTCGTGCTCCGTTTTGCCCTCTGGGCTGCCCGAATCCGGCAAAACGGACCTCCCCATGTGGTGTCTCTCTATGCGTGCATCAATGTAGGTACGTGTGTATGTATGCGTCGCGTCTCTGTGTTGCTGTGTGTCGGTGCTATGTATCCCCGTGTGAGATATGATATGATATGATATGATGTATGTGAGAACGCATGCATGCGCCACATACCACCCTTCATCAAGGTCAATTCTTTTGTGATGTATTGTTATGTAGTTATGTAGTGTAAAGTTTCACCCCACCCTTCATCACAAATCTATTTGTCCGTAACTGCTTCCCAACTTCCTTTGATGATATGATGTATGTGAGAACGCATGCATGTGCGACCTCACCTCTATGCACACTTCTAGATAGCCAAACGCCACATATGAAGCAAAACGCATGTGTATGCGAACCCAAAACGCATGCGTGAGCGACCCTGCAAAACGCATGCGTGAGCGACCCGGTGACCTCCTAGTCCTCTTGGTCCCCTGGTCCTTTGGTCTCCTGGTCCCTGGTTGCCTGGTGCCTGGTCTCCTGGTCCTCTGGTCTTCTGTCCTCTGGCTTCTGGTTGCTTTAGTCAATTGGTCGTGCTGTTTGGTTCTGTTGCACCCTTGACACAAGCACCAACCAGCCACCACCAACAATATTTCAAAACCACAACGGAGGAGCACAGACTAGAGGAAACAATCCAATAGCAACGAACGCTCTGCCCCAGCCGCCCTCCAGTTTTTTCAACTTTTGCTGTAATACGTTGACCTGGGTAAGCATGGTCGTTGTACACAACACATGCAAGAATTTGGATGCACCTCTCGCTCTGGTTGCTGATATTCTTGTCTTCTTTTTTGGGTGTCTTCACTTTGCGGCTAGTACCATCCAAAATGAATCCACAATGCTGCAAATATATACCTTGCCCAGTGAAGTTCCCGACTGTTGCAACTCCCATACAACATGACAATAAAAAAGGTTTGAGCTCCAAAATGCTACAAATGCCATACAACATCAGAGTTTTTGTCTTCAAACTCCAAAATGCTGCGTATACACTACAAAATTAGAGTTTCTCTTTACTGCAAATACCATGTAAAATTGTAGTTGTCTTTCCAAAATGCGGTAAATACCGTGCAAAATGTACGATTCTATCTGCAAATTGCTGCATATACCAAGCACAATGAGAGGTTCAAACTCCAAAGCGCGGTATATACTACACAAACCTAACCTTAAAATACCTTAAATACTTGTTCGAGCGTCTTAGGTTTTTTTCCAATGTCAAAACGGGGTCTGAGTCTGATGTTTTTTCCAATGGAATTCTGTCTTTTTTCCAGGTCTACCCCGCGAAGGACAAACCCCAAACTGGCACTGATCTCCCATGCTGCCAATAGCCCCTAGCAAAAAGGCGTTTAAAAGATACCCCTTTGAATTAAGTGAGAGTGTTGGTGTTGACAATTTTATAGTGATAATTCTGGAGACGCTGACCCTCTTTCTGAAAATACATCTATAGAATCAGAGACCCCAAGGTATTTTCAAGTTGACAATCTCTATAGAATTGCTGCCATTGAGGTCGTTTATGAGCATCATTTTCTATACACTCTCGTAGGGTCTTTTTTAGGTTGGGGGGGTTAGTTGGCCTTCTATAAAATCAGACTCCCCAAATATCATTCATTGACAGCTGACCTGAATGCTCCACTTGCTCTTGCCTAGCTTACCTTATGCATTTCCAAATTTATAGGGCTCAAAGGCTCCAAGTGTTCGATGTCAACCTCTTTGATTTTATAGACTTGTGAAAAATGCTTGAAAGATCTTGACAGTTGCTCTGTTTCATTTTGTTTCCATCTGTTTCCATCCGCTTCCTTTTTTTAAATCCTCGCTGCTCTGGTATCTGCCAATACTTCTCTATAGAATTGAAGAACATGACATATATCCAAAGAAAACATATCCCACTATAGAATCGCAGTCCCTAAGACTCTCTGCTGACTAGTACTCAGTGCTGTATTCAACATGAAATCTCTATAGAATCAGAGACCCCAAGCTCCTCCATAAAATTGAAAGCGTTGACATTGAGTAGGTACCCCTAAACAAAGCAGGGGTTAAAACACATCATTTTCCAGGACTTAACGTTCCTGATTCTATAGAGGAAATTCCAAGAGGGATTTTAAAAGAACAAAGACCTTTATTCCATTTTATTCCCCTGTGCTCTACGTTTTCAAACTTTGCTCAAGACAGCCGAATGCACTTTCTTGATCTGTTATGATCTATTCATGTTTTCGACCACAACAGAAAGCTGGGCCTCGGCGGGTCTGAATCGTGGCGATCATGGCGAACCACCTGAAACCTTGGACGGTCACCTCGCCGTGGAATCAGGCTGAAATGTCGCTGTAGAGATTCCAAGTGCCGCCGTTCACTCTGCACAGGGGTTCGGATAAGAGTCCTGCGGTACTGCGGCAGCACAGCACGATGGTTTTGGCTTTTTTTTGATCACACTCTTGCTCCGCACTTCACTCACAACATCTGTGGATGATGGCATTGGCCAAGCAAGCCACGCACGCCACCTTTCTTAAGGAATCGGGAGAATTCCCCTGCTGCAACAGGCCAATTGAGCATCAGAAGCTCTTGAAGGATGTGGGCAAAGCCAAGAAGCAGCGGGCGCCGGCGACCCTATGCCACGGAGCTGCGCTAGCATCGGCATGAAATCAATCCTTTCAACAGTCTGCTACATCCAGACTGAAAGGAAGGACCGCACATTCGGTAATTATTAATTTCAAACCTCCACGAATCGAGATTCTTGAGCTATGCTTGATGGACCTCGCAAGCAGCAAACATTGGATATCTTCCGGAAATTGAAAACAAGAACGGAGGTGAAAGGCAATCCTGTATGCACTTACAAGATCCGCGCAAATTGAAAAGTGCGACAACAAACTCATGGGACCAAGCCCTGCCGTGCCGCTGTGCCTTTGTTTCGGGCACCGATTCGACTCTGGCGAACGCACAGGAAGTGCATGGACAACGGACAGTCTTCCCAACTTGGCAGAGCCTTCAGCCAAGACGGTGGTATCTGGAGAACGGACGCATCTGGGAGGTTAGACGTCAAATATACACCGACACTGCGGTCAGTGGAACGTGGGGAAGCTGCCCACTGTCTCCGCCAATGGGTTTCCACCCTTCTCACTGCTGCCTGATATTTAGAGGTAAGTAAACTGATATAAATTGGGTATATGTGCTGGTGGCAGCGTCCAAACGCAGGCTCTGCAAAGCTCACTGATAGGTTTGCAAAGAGAGGTTTCCTTGTGTTGCAGGCACAGATTGTAGCAGCGTAGCAGCTCTGAGGCTCGAACTACAGGGTTCGACCACAATCCCTGATTCCAATCCCTGGTTCAGAAGCTATAGCGGCCAGAAGAGCCGTGTTCCACACGAATTTCCAGGACTATGCTGCAGTTTCTCAGATAATTTTCATGACACAAGGCACGCTTCATGCGCAACCTAAACTTCCCCCGACCAACCCACATGAAACACTTGAAACACAGGAAGCTGTTTCCGGCGATGACTTCACATTGCATCCACATGCCAACACCCTACAACCAAGTACCTGGCAGTTCTCTTTGCTGCCAGAAGTTACAAGAACAAACTCGACCGGGCCGAGCTGAGCCTCCACTTTCACGCTCACAGAGCCACAAAGTGTTTTGGGGAGTGGGTCAAACCACTCTGAACCCCGTAAGATGTCTTCAGGTTGGGCACGAAGACTTCAATGACTGCAGAGATGGTGATGGTGAAAGACTACTTCGAGCTTTGCTGGACTATGAAGACTCAACATTCAAGCCGCTCCAATTGTATAGATCTCCGGAACCTGGTTGTGAAGACGTCAGAGATAGTGACTGCGCAGGATTCTGCATGATTGCCTGCGGCTGTGCTTCGTGTGATTATCTAAATTGTGGAAAGCAAATGCTTAGAAGGCGCCGTCATGGCTGCTCCAATGTGTAGGGAACATTCGTAGCAATTGAACCACTTGCTGCCCCATTTGTAGCGGCATTTTCTTTGTGATGCCCTATTGGTAGCAGCATTAACCGTTTGAATCAGGTACTGTAGTGTCGATATGGATCAAAATAATTCACTGGCACGGGTGACGCTTGGCTATGTTATTTGTACAAAGTACTGCGAGGTGGGGCTTGCTGGCTACAGAAACAAACGCGGACACATCAGCGGAGGTCCCAATTGCGGAACACATCACTTGGTGACGATCAAACTTGAGTGTCGATCGGCTTGGCCGGGTTATTGTATGGAACAGTCATGGTTCTGGCAAAAGTACCAAATGACCAGTCACATGTCATGGAGGCGCATTGGCACAGCTGCTAGCTTCTTTCGGCAGGATGCCCATATGCCATGATCTCTCAACACTGCGTGTCATGTCAGAGTGTGACAGCTCTTTAATGTCATCTTTTTGGCTGTCCCTGGCAGCAAAGTGATGTAAGGATGTAAATTGGGTGTGCTTGTTGCAGATAGTTCCGGCGCCTCTCCACTTCTCATCATACTTTTATTTTTTGACCTGTACAGTCAGAAAACGGCCGTTGCAAGCTACCAGGACGTCAAACACTAAACAGCTCCCTCTCAAGCATTCTTAACCGAACCAGTCTTGCATTCAGGCTCCTTATCTTCCAGTTTTGGCACCAAAGTTGTCAAAGAGTTTGACTTTGACAGCAACCATTGCTCTTGCGTTGCTTCAGCTTCGCTACATCTCGCGGTGGAATGGGGCAATAATCCACCAGCCTCTGTCAAAGCTCTGAGCGGCAATTGCTCAACAATGCATACTACTGAAAAACAATGAAAAACAGATGGCCTTATGGCCTTATAAAATTCAACACCCTCCGTGAGGACCTATAGAGGACCTTAAAGCCTCATCCGGCCCATGCGAAAAGGATTTCCGAATCACAATCATGGGCCGAGTATAAAACGAGAACGGGTCCGGAGACTAATGCCGAAAGCCAAGAACCACTGCAGCTTCTCTTCTGTCTTGAATGGCAGCTCTTAGCAAAGCTTACATATCCCAAAGCCCAAACAGGCTGGGATCAACAAATTCAGCAGAACTGGAAAAGCTCGACAAAGCGGTGACTTTTCAAGCCTTTCACCCAAATCTGCAAATTGGAGTTGCCTGGATTTGGGCGTGTCTGTGTTTCAATCTACCACTTAAGTACAGGTACTGAATGGAGGCTGGCCCACACCTCGAAGTGCAGCAGTTTGCATGTTTGTCAAAAAGCATTTTGCGCATCATCTTGCAAGCTTCCAAGGACCCAAGTTGGGTTTCAGAAGGGTCAGGTCTCACCAAATGCGGCTTGCTTAATGAGGGGCTTGTGCTTTGGAACAAACGGGTTACTTTTTCAGGATTTGGTCATGAGTCATGACTCCTTTGGGCTGATCTTACTAAAACTGACGGAATGAGGGGGAAGAGACATACACAAAGAAGCTAGTCAAGGATTGACATGGCTTGCAAAAAAATGTCAAGTTAGGCCTGCTCCCCAAACCGAGATGGAATTCACGCGGCGGCCAATACTGGCCCTCACTTGGAAGGAAGGAGCTGGAAGCCTGCGGGAAACAGCTGTTTCAAGCACCCGCACATAAAATCTGCAAATCCGTCCGACAAAACGATGCCTCGCAAACTTGGCCCTTCTTTGGAACAGGATCTGAAATCGTTGGCCAACCTCTCACAAGCCATAATCTTATTGTGAGGGCCACGACCCGTTTTAATGAACTGACAATTTGTCTGCACATGCCTAGATGGACAGCATACACTTTGCACTTCCTTGGGTCAAACCCGTGCTAACAACAAGTTTTAACCGCGATTCTCGAGCATCTTGCTTTGACATCCAACATTCGATCAACATCAGGGTCACATGTTGGGTTTACAGGGAAAAATCTGAGACGGTCGCACATGTTATCTCAGCAAGCCTGATCTCCAGGCAAATCGCCAGAAGCTGAGAGCCAAAAAACCCTGCTCATGCAGTGTGTTCCGAAATTCTTCGAGAACGACAAGTTTGCGAGGCTTCGTTGGAGGATGTTGGAGGATGGAGTCGCAAGTGTTTTTCTTGAAGCCTTAGTGGCCTCAGTGGCCTTCATTCTCTGAGGCCTCGCGGCCTCCCTGGGACAGTGTGACCGCGGTTCAAAGCTGCCCAGATTGGAGAGCTCGAGAGCTCTGGGACATATCAACAACAGAAGTATCAATCAGACACCAATAGTTTGCCGATGGCTGAAAGCTGTTTTCTATACCTGACATGTTGAGGAACATGGGATCACAGATTCAGCGCCCGCTCTGGAGCAACCACTGCCATTCAGAAAGCATAAGCAAGCCCTATTTCGTGCAAAATGCAGAAGAATTATTCGTTGAACTCATCAAGACATTTTACATCCAGAACTCCCAAGCCCCCTGCTATTGTGGTGCCTTTCAGGTTTGATGCAACCCGCTCTTAGATTACATTGCATATAGAATCATATAGACATATGAACAGGCTTAATATGGGGGCGACTGTCCAGTCGGTCTGTGGATTGGTTCAAGTGGCCCCCTTCTGTCGCCATTACTCTTGCAGCAGCCTCGCATCGCGGGTTTTCTCTTTGGTGGTGCCTACTCATTGCAAAACTACGTTCGCAAACCTTCACGGCTGGCTGAGTTTTTCGTACATTGTTGCGGCCGGCTGAGTTTTTCATACATTGTTGCGAAGTTAATGCATTTGAGGAACCGTGGTTTTAGTTCGTGCGAAGGTATGCTACTTGAACCGCCCTTCATCCGAAGACTTTTGGGTGTTTGGATGCTGCTCGGATGACTTCTCTCCAGTTGGGAACTGGCAGCACTGGACGACAATTTTCTTGGAAGAAGCACAGTTCGTTTCGTGGTGCAACTGATGTACAACGCAAGCACAGCCAAGGGATCTGGAGTCTATAGAAGGTATCCAGAGAATGCGAGTCCAACGGATATACCTGATACCTTTGGTTTCAACTTGTCAGCGGGGCAAAACACGCCTCTTCCTGCACTTCTTTATCACAGTATACTACGCTTCTGGGCAAACGATGCACAAATACGCACAAATGTCGAATCAAATCTCAATCGCTACGGGTCTGGGATCGAGCTGCTTAGTTTCACCTGCTCCATGAGATTGAGAAAATGCCAAGCACCTGGGGCGAATGTGCCACACCCTTGACACTGATGGCAAAACACTCGCCCGAGGCCGCTGAAAGCCAAACGCTACACCAAAAAACACCAGGTCGAGACAGAAAAATCTGATTACACCCTTACCACCTAAATTTTTGATGAGATAGAAGTTCAGTACTGTGTGAAACACGAAAACAAAACACCTTTCTCACTTTCCCATACCATGACCGTGGAAGAAGATCAACATGACAAATCATGTTGCGTCTGCGAAATCTCGTACTGGCAAAAGATTTCAAGTCGTCTTCAAGAAGCCAATACGCTAAGCTGCAAAGTACAGCGATCAAACCTGCGTCGTGACCAATACCCCAACCTTGGACGATAAGCAACATGGAACAACCGTATCCTGAATTAGGGAAATAATGGCCTCAAACAGCTTGACCTTGTCACACATCAGTCAGATCAATCCTAGCTATTTCACTCACAGATATGCGGAGTAACATCCCATCAGCGCACCAAGACCCAGCTTCCAGCAGTAGGGCAAGCTGAAGGTGCCCAGGTAGAAGAAGCAGGTCACCAGCCTTGAACGAAAAAAAACAGCCATGCCATGCCTCAACTCTCAAAAAAAGGGAAAGGGGCTTGGCCATGCCTCCGTTTCATTTTTGAAATAAGCCCAAAGAATATCCCCAACAGCAAGAAAGCAGCGGCCGTAGATCCCAAACAGTAATTCCATATAAGCGTGGTAGTTTTTGTTTCATGACCAAGCAATGCAGTGCATTTTTGCGCCGTCCTACCGCCGGCTTCCCCTACTACTACTAATGTATGTATGCATTAATTAGTTAATTTACCGGTTCTATGCAACATGCAACTGAACGTGTTGAACGACCTGGCGAAAGCCAAGAGGCGTTGGACGGGAAAAAAAAAATACTACTACTACTACTACTACCACTACTACTACTACTACTTCTACTTCTACTTCTACTTCTACTTCTACTTCTACTTCTACTTCTACTTCTACTACTACTTCTACTTCTACTACTACTACTACTACTACTGCTACTACTACTACTACTACTTCTACTTCTACTTCTACTTCTACTTCTACTTCTACTTCTCTACTTCTACTACTACTACTACTACGACAACTACTACTACTACTACTACTACTACTACTACTACTACTACTACTACTTCTACTTCTACTTCTACTTCTACTACTACTACTTATACTTCTACTTCTACTTCTACTTCTACTTCTACTTCTCTACTTCTACTACTGCTGCTACTACTACTACTACTACTATTACTACTACTACCACTACCTACTTACTACGTACGACGTACTACGTACTACGTACGACGTACGACGTACTACGTACTACGTACTACGTGCTTACTGCTTACTGCTTACTGCTTACTGCTTACTGCTTACTGCTTAGTGCTTACTGCTTAGTGCTTACTGCTTACTGCTTACTGCTTAGTGCTTAGTGCTTAGTGCTTAGTGCTTACTGCTTACTGCTTACTGCTTACTGCGTACTCTGTACTACTCTGTACTACTCTGTACTACTCCGTACTACTCCGTACTACTCCGTACTACTCCGTACTACTCCGTACTACTCCGTACTACTCCGTACTACTCCGTACTACTCCGTACTCCTCCGTACTCCTCCGTACTCCAATAGACCCGGTTAGACAAAAAATTGACTAATAGTTAAAATTTTAGAGAATCTTGATTTTTACAAATTCGGCAGATTATGTTGTTGTCTATTTCGGCAGATCATATCTGCCGTTTTAGACAATTCATTTTGGAGAAAAAGACAAATCAAATAGGAGAATTCGGCAGATTGACCGTCGCTTTCACCCGCCCTGCGCGAGGTAGTTTCCACGAAATTTCCGTGAAATTTCCTGTGTGCAATTTTGAAACTGCTTCACTTTTTTGTTGAAACTGCCTCAGCTTTTTGTGCAAACTACCTCACTTTTTGGGGTAAACTACTTCATTTTTTTTGGCTGTTGCGTGGGTGTGGTGTCATTTTGCCAAAAACTGATGCGGTAGTTTCGAGGAAGTTTTGCAAGAAAGCACGAGGTAGTTTCGAGGCAGTTTCCGTCTGCCACCTGCGGCAAAATCTGCCGTTTTCGGCAGATCGTATTCTGCCGTTTTCGGCAGTTTGGAGCATCATTAAAATTAACTATTTCTCCAAATCATTTTGCCTAAAAAAAATTGGAGAGTCCAAAAAAATAGTTTTAAAAAAATGAGACTACGCCTAAAAAATCGATCGATTTCTAAAAAATCAAGATTCTCCACGTTTTTGTCTAACCGGGTCTATTGGGTACTCCTCCGTACTCCTCCGTACTCCTCCGTACTCCTCCGTACTCCTCCGTACTCCTCCGTACTCCTCCGTACTCCTCCGTACTCCTCCGTACTCCTCCGTACTCCTCCGTACTCCTCCGTACTCCTCCGTGCTCCTCCGTGCTCCTCCGTACTCCTCCGTACTCCTGCGTACTCCTCCGTACTCCTCCGTACTCCTCCGTACTCCTGCATACTACTGCGTACTACTGCGTACTACTGCGTACTACTGGGTATGTGTGTGTGTGATGTACCTACTTACTACTATATATACTTATACTACAACTGCGTACTACTACTGCGTACTACTACTGCGTACTACTACTGCGTACTACTACTGCGTACTACTACTGCGTATTACTACTGCGTAGTACTACTGCGTACTACTACTGCGTAGTACTACTGCGTACTACTGCGTACTACTACTACTGCGTACTACTACTACTGCGTACTACTGCATAGTACTACTGCGTACTACTACTACTACTGCGTACTACAACTGTGTAGTACTACTGCGTACTACTACTGCGTACTACTGCGTAGTACTACTGCGTAGTACTACTGCGTAGTACTGCTGCGTAGTACTGCTGCGTAGTACTGCTGCGTAGTACTGCTGCGTAGTACTACTACTGCGTAGTACTGCGTACTACTGCGTACTACTACTGCGTACTACTACTGCGTACTACTACTGCGTACTACTGCGTACTACTGCGTGCTACTACTGCGTACTACTACTGCGTACTACTGCGTACTACTACTGCGTACTACTACTGCGTACTACTACTGCGTACTACTACTGCGTACTACTACTGCGTACTACTACTGCGTAGTACTACTGCGTAGTACTTCGTACTATTGCGTAGTACTGCGTAGTACTGCGTAGTAGTACTGCGTAGTAGTACTGCGTAGTACTACTGCGTAGTACTGCTGCGTACTACTACTGCGTATAGTACTACTGCGTACTACTACTGCGTAGTACTACTGCGTACTACTACTGTGTAGTACTACTGCGTAGTACTACTGCGTACTACTACTGCGTAGTACTACTGCGTAGTACTACTGCTCAGTACTACTGCGTAGTACTAATGCGTAGTACTGCGTAGTAGTACTGCGTAGTACTACTGCGTATACTGCGTACTACTGCTGCGTAGTACTGCTGCGTACTACTGCTTAGTACTACTGCGTAGTACTTCGTACTATTGCGTAGTACTGCGTAGTACTACTGCGTAGTACTACTGCGTAGTAGTACTGCGTAGTAGTACTGCGTAGTACTACTGCGTAGTACTGCTGCGTACTACTACTGCGTAGTACTACTGCGTACTACTACTGCGTAGTACTACTGCGTACTACTACTGAGTAGTACTACTGCGTAGTACTACTGCGTACTACTACTGCGTAGTACTACTGCGTAGTACTACTGCTCAGTACTACTGCGTAGTACTAATGCGTAGTACTGCTGCGTAGTACTGCGTAGTACTACTGCGTACTACTGCGTAGTACTGCTGCGTACTACTGCGTAGTACTATTGCGTAGTACTACTGCGTACTACTGCGTAGTACTACTGCTGCGTACTACTGCGTACTACTACTAGTACTACTGCGTACTACTGCGTATAGTACTACTGCGTAGTACTACTGCGTAGTACTACTGCGTACTACTGCGTAATACTACTGCGTAATACTACTGCGTAGTACTATTGCGTACTACTGCGTACTACTGCGTACTACTACTGCGTAGTACTACTGCGTACTACTGCGTAGTACTACTGCGCTGCGTAGTGCTACTGCGTATACTACTGCGTAGTACTACTGCGTACCACTGCGTACTACTACTGCGTACTACTGCGTACTACTACTGCGTACTATACTACTGCGTACTACTACTGCGTACTACTACTGCGTGCTACTACTGCGTGCTACTACTGCGTACTACTACTGCGTACTACTACTGCGTACTACTACTGCGTACTACTACTGCGTACTACTACTTGCGTACTACTACTGCGTACTACTACTGCGTACTACTGCGTGCTACTACTGCGTACTACTACTGCGTACTACTACTGCATACTACTACTGCGTACTACTACTGCGTACTACTACTGCGTACTATAGGTACTAATACTGCCTACTACTGCGTACTACTGCGTACTACTGCGCACTACTGCGTACTACTGCGTACTACTGCGTACTACTGCGTACTACTGCGTGCTACTGCGTGCTACTGCGTGCTACTGCGTGCTACTGCGTGCTACTGCGTAGTACTAATGCGTAGTACTACTGCGTAGTACTATACTTACTGCGTAGTACTACTGCGTAGTACTGCTGCGTAGTACTGCGTAGTACTACTGCGTACTACTGCCTACTACTGCCTACTACTGCGTACTACTGCGTACTACTGCGTACTACTGCGTACTACTGCGTGCTACTGCTTACTACTGCCTGCTACTGCGTACTACTGCGTACTACTGCGTACTATTGCGTACTACTGCGTACTATACTGCGTACTACTGCGTACTACTACTGCGTACTACTGCGTACTACTGGGTACTACTACTGCGTACTACTACTACTACTACTGCTACTACTACTACTACTGCTACTACTACTACTACTACTAATACTACTGCAGTAGTACTATATTGCGTACTACTGCGTACTACTGCGTACTATACTGTGTACTATACTGTGTACTATACTGCGTACTATACTGCGTACTTTACTGCGTACTATACTGCGTACTACTGCGTACTACTCCTTACTACTCCTTACTACTCCTTACTACTCCTTACTACTCCTTTCTACGCCTTACTACTCCTTACTACTCCTTACTACTACTTACTACTACTTACTACTACTTACTACTTCTTACTACTACTTGCTACTTCTTACTACTACTTACTACTACTTACTACTACTTACTACTACTTACTACTACTTACTACTACTTACTACTACTTACTACTACTTACTACTACTTACTCCTACTTACTCCTACTTACTCCTACTTACTCCTACTTACTACTACTTACTACTACTTACTACTACTTACTACTACTTACTCCTACTTACTCCTACTTACTCCTACTTACTACTACTTACTACTACTTACTACTACTTACTACTACTTACTACTACTTACTACTACTTACTTACTACTACTTACTTACTACTACTTACTTACTACTACTTACTTACTACTACTTACTTACTACTACTTACTTACTACTACTTACTTACTACTACTTACTTACTACTACTTACTTACTACTACTTACTTACTACTACTTACTACTACTTACTACTACTTACTACTACTTACTACTACTTACTACTACTTACTACTACTTACTACTACTTACTACTACTTACTACTACTTACTACTACTTACTACTCCTTACTACTACTTACTACTACTTACTACTACTTACTACTACTTACTACTACTTACTACTACTTACTACTACTTACTACTACTTACTACGACTACTACGACTACGACTACTACTACTACTGCTACTACTACTACTACTACCACTACTACCACTACTACCACTACTACCACTACTACTACAACAACAACTACTACTACTATTACTACTACTAGAAGTAGTAATAGTACGCGCGGGTTCCGCACGTTATGCCCGTCTGCGTTTCGCGCATGTTGTTCTCTGCGGGTTCCGCGCGCGTCGTCGCATTCAATTTTTTTTCAAGAAATTAATATTTTACGACGGATATTACTACTACTTTTACTAATTATAATTTAATCAATTTTACGATTAGTATCTTTTCTACTACATCTGCGATAATATTACTACTCCTACTACTGCTACTGCTACTGCTACTGCTACTACTACTACTACTACTTCTACTTCTACTTCTACTTCTACTTCTACTACTACTACTACTACTTCTACTACTACTACTACTACTACTACTATTACTACTACTACTACTATTACTAGAAGTATTAATAGTACGCACGCGTTTCGCGCGTCTGCGTTTTGCGCGGTTTCCGCGCGTGACGCGCATCTGCGTTTTGCGCGGTATCCGCACGTGTTGTTTTGCGCGGGTTCCACGCGTGTAGCCGCATTCAAATTTCTTGAAGAAATTCATATTTTACGATGAAAATCACTGCTACTTCTACTAATCGTAATTTAATCAGTACTACGAAAAGTATAATTTCTACTATACATCTACTACTATTATTATTAGTACGAGAAGTAGTAGTAATACGCGCGGGTTCCGCGCGTCTGCGTTTCGCACGGGTTTCGCGCGTTATGCGCGTTTGCGTTTCGCGCGGGTTCCGCGCGTGTTGTTCTGCTCGGGTTCCACGCGCGGTGTCGCATTCAAATTTCTCTGAGAAAAAATCATATATAACGATGAACATTATTTATTACTATTTTTACTAATTATAATTTAATCAATATGACGATTAGTATCATTTCTACTGCATCTGCGATTTTATTACTACTACTACTGCTACTGCTACTGCTACTGCTACTACTACTACTACTACTATTACTACTACTACAACTACAACTACAACTACTACTACTACTGCTACTAGTACTACTACTACTACTACTACTATTAATAGTACGCGCGGGTTCCGCACGGGTTCTGCGCGCGTGGTCGCATTCAAATTTCTTGAAGAAGTTAAAATATTACGACGAATATTAATAATATTTCTACAAATTGTAATTTAATCAATATTACGGTTAGTATCATTTCTACTTTATTTACGATATTTTTTTGTATTATTACTATTACTAGTACTACTATTACTATTACTACTACTACTACTACTACTAGAAGTATTAATAGTACGCGCGGGTTCCGCGCGTCTACGTTTCGCGCGGTTTCCGCGCGTTATGCGCGTTATGCGCGTCTGCGTTTTGCGCGGGTTCCGCGCGTGTTGTTCTGCGCGGGTTCCGCGCGTGTAGCCGCATTCAAATATCTTCAAGAAATTTATATATTACGACGAATATTACTACTGTACTTGGGAACCTTTACATAATAACCTTGGGGACCTTGAGAATATTTACGTGGAAAACTTGGGAACCTTGAGGGAACCTTTACAATACAACCTTGGGAACCTTGACAACCTTTACTTGGGAAACTTGGGAATCTTGAGGGAACCTTTACAATGCAACCTCGGAAAAAGCTTGAGGAAACCTTGACAATATAACCTTGGAACCCTTGAGAACCTTTACAATGTAACCTTGGGGAACCTTGAGGGAACCTTTACAATGCAACCTTGGAAAGCTTGAGGAAACCTTGACAATATAACCTTGGAACCCTTGAGAACCTTTTACAATGTAACCTTGGGAACCTTGAAGGAACCTTTACAATACAACCTTGGGAACCTTGGAAAACTTGGGAACCTTCAGGGAACCTTGAAGAAACCTTGAAGGAACCTTGAGGGTACCTTTTGGGAACCTTGAGGGAACCTTGACAATCTAACCTTGGGAATCTTTTAGAAACCTTTACAATGTCACCTTGGGAACCTGGACCAGGTTTACTTGGGAACCTTTACATAATAATCTTGGGAACCTTGACAACCTTTACTTGGAAAACTTGGGATCCTTGCAGGGAACCCTGAAGGAACCTTTTGGGAACCTTTTGGGAACCGTGAGGGAACCTTGAGGAACCTTGGGAACCTTGAGCGAACCTTGGGAACCTTGAGCGAACCTTGGGAACCTTGGGAACCTTGGGAACCTTTACTTGGGAACCTGGGAACCTTTACTTGGGAACCTTTACTTGGGAACCTGGGAACCCTTACTTGGGAACCTTTACTTGGGAACCTTTACTTGGAACCTGGGAACCTTGGGGGAATGGGTTTTGGAGCTGCTCCGGTCTGCTCCGAAACCTTTACTATGGCTGAAGACCCCAAAGCATTCTGCTGTTGGGGAAAAACTGGTAGCTGGTTTCAACCCTGAAAAGTATGCTCGTCATTGGGGATCATCATCCCAGTGCGAGCCCGCGCAGTCGAAATGCACATCAACATGTCACAAGAGCCACTTTCTGCGGAAATCTACAGGAAAAATGAAGCGCGTCGAAATATTGAAGCATTGGAGCATTGGTTTAAAGCCACCTCAGTTTGAAGGAACATGGATCCAAGATGCTCCAAGAATCAGGTTCTGTACATTTCTGGACCATGAATGGCCATGTTGAATCATCCCTGAGGCAAAAAGATAGGACAAAAAATGGAAAAAAGAGAGAGGAAGATAGACGAAGTCTCTGTGTCCTTTTCAGTTTTCTTACTCAACTTGAAGCAGAAACTTCATCCCAAAACATGTCTGTTACTGTGTGCATGTGGGTGTGTTGGCACCCTCTCATCACATTGCTTCAGCGGACTGATATGACAAGGTTACATGTCCTCATGAGCACCAGGTTCCCGACAATCCGTCGAAGCAAGGATTTCGAGTACCTTTCGATCTCAGATCACAGTCGATCACACACTACCAATGTCAATTTGTAGCATTCCTATCTGAAGATACCGCCGCGCCGCGCATAAGAAAAAGAAGTGGAAGAGGCAAAGATACAACAACTCGACAGAATACAAACAAAGACAACGAACCATGAGACAAAACCAACGAAATTTAAACAATAATACTCATTCTAATGCAAAAAACAATATAGAGGTGATGTTCGTCTCAGTCCAACCGCGGACTGTTCCGAGCTCAAGAGATGTGGAGATTTCGGAAGCATAAGTCACCATGTGTGGTCCACGGCCGGACCATACCCAAAAGATTTCACAAAAATGTTTCGAAAAGTGGGATGAAAGATGATGAAAGCCAACTGAGCCAACTTTTCCTGCCTTAGCAGGCCACACGGCAAAGGTTTCTGCCGTAGACTGCAGGGGCAACGTTCACCTCAGGTTGCAGGAATATCAATCTGGGAATGGATTTAATATAACATGATTAAACCACCCCTAACGGTCAAATCTTGTGGAATCTGTCTGTGGAATCTAGTTGCGCCAGGTTCCGGGTTGCTGGAGCGACTCGCGAAATCCAAGGGCCTGTCATCGGTGTGTTTAACTTGAAACCAATATTTCGCTCCACACCACACACCACCATTCGCGACAGGAGCCCATTCACCTTTCAGGAGTTTCCAAACCTCTTAGTGGATTGAGTCTCCATACAAGGTCAACGACTCAGCGGCGCACACAGATCACGCTCAGCGGCGCACACAGCCAAAACTCAGCCACGCACACAGATCAGACTCACCCACGCACACAGATCAGACTCACCCACGCACACAGATCAGACTCACTCACGCACACAGATCAGGCTCACCTGCGCACACAAATTTGCTGAGTCAAATTCGCGTGTATGGCTGAGTTGGTTTCGCGTGTACAGGCGAGTCAATTTCCGCGTGTATGGCTGAGCAAAATTTCGCGTGTACTGCTGAGTCACGGACCTCCATACAATATCATTTCATTGTTCGTATTTCTGCTCATATGCACGACACACACCATGCACATTACTACTCGGTGCATTTCGGCTCCCCCGGGAATGCCCAAAATAGCCTCCACAGCGAGGAACCATCGACGCCCTGCCGCATCACACAGGCATCGGCAGCACTGACTGTGGGGGTGGCGGCATCCCTGGGGTGGTGAGGGTGGAGCCCGGAGGGCCTCTGCGGAGGGCCTCTGCCACCATGGCTGCCACCCCGGGGACACCGTTGCCAGCTCCGGCATCTGGGTGGAGGGGCAGGGGAAAGGCCAAATGCGCAGGCGGGCAAGGGACGTGGTGGGAGGGTTCCGGGCAGCTTGGAAGTAAACCACTCGGGGCCGAAGCTTGGGAGAGGGCTCATTGACCCAACTTTCCCGTCTTGCACACCTGGCCAGCGATGATATAATGTGACAGGGCAATATGGTGCCAAAGTTATGATATGTTCTATAATGACTCTAATGATTGTCCAGTCAAATGCCTGTTGTCTGTTTCGGTCCGCTGACAGTAGGATATGGAGTTCAAAGGTACTTTTAGGATTTCGTAGGTAGCACTCAGTTCGTGTTTTTCTGATGTCCACCGCCTGTTATCAGCTAGAAGCATGGTACTGCGGCTCTCATAACTTACCTGTTTCGAGGGAGTCGCATGGAGTCACCACCCGGACCTTTCGGTTGGAAGGTCACCATCTTCTCAATCTCGTTCGTCAGTCCAAAGCCTTGGCTTCAAGTTTGAATGATGGGGTGGGCACGCCGGGCAGCTTGGGCAAGTTGAGCACTGCCTTACATTTTGAGCAACTCACAAGTCACTTAGAACAACAGCGAAAAAAATCACTCAAAAGGTAAAACCACGCAAAACCATGTAAAACAACTGCCCAAGCAAAGGAAACAAAAGCTGTTTGGCTGTGGGGGCTAGTCTGGGCATGGCGCACTGGCTCCCAAACAAGTAGGCCAGCACCACAATCACACCTCTCCACAACCGCAAGTCGTGTGAGTTGCTGCATGTTGCCGCAGCAAGAACAAGAGCCATGTCGACAAAAAGCGCATTTTATGCACAGCGCCTGCGCTACAGACCAGCATCCACAGGTACTCGGCCGATTTTCTTTGAAAGGCCACATCTTCCAGCCAGGAGCAATAGTGTACCTCTGTAACATTCAGGGTCTGCTCAATATCACTTAAAGTCAAGACCTCACACGCCTTTTGCAACCGCCATGTCCATGAAGCAGCCCGACCCTGTTTTCCTCTTGTTGGATGCTGTTCGCATGACGCCGCTGCATCACCTGTCACAGGGATGACGCAAAGAACGCGAAGGAGGGATGATAACAAAAACCTAGGATTCCTAGAATTAAAGGACCGGATAACCCCACAAGTCAACTTCTCCCAATAATGAGCATCAAAGGTTGTAGCAGGGACGGGAAAGGAAAGGGAAAGGAGGCGGTGAAGGATCGAGAAGTTAAAACAGTTGTGTGTGACAAAGTGGAATGTGAAAGATGGTGTGTGTGACAAAGCAAAGAAGGTATGTGAAAAGATAGTATGCATGTATGTATGTATGTATGTATGTATGTATGTATGCATGTATGCATGTATGTATGTATGTATGTGTGTGACAAAGTTGTGTGTGAAAGATGGCATAAGAAACCACTGGATGTGAGATTGTGCCACGCCTGCCACGCAAAACGAAAGTGGATGTGAGATTGTGCCACGCCTGCCACGTGGAACCAAAGTGGATGTGAGATTGTGCCACGCCTGCCACGCAAAGTGCTGCGGCGTCACGGGCGACCAAAACCAGCCCAAGCGCGCCACCCAGTGCCATAAGTGCCACGCCTGCCACGCCTGCCACGCCTGCCACGCCTGCCACGCCTGCCACGCCTGCCATGCAAAACGAAGGTGGATGTGAGATTGTGCCAGGCCTGCCACGCAAAACGAAAGTGGGTGTGAGATTGGGCCACGCCTCCCACGTGGAACCAAAGTGGATGTGAGATTGTGCCACGCCTGCCACGCAAAGTGCCGCGGCGTCACGGGCGACCAAAACCAGCCCAAGCGCGCCACCCAGTGCCCTAAGTGCCACGCCTGCCACGCAAAACGAAGGTGGAGGTGAGATTGCGCCACGCCTGCCACACAAAACGAAAGTGGATGCGAGATTGCGCCACGCCTGCCACGTGAAACCAAAGTGGATGCGAGATTGTGCCACGCCTGCCACGCAAAGTGCCACGGCGTCACGGGCGACCAAAACCAGCCCAAGCGCGCCACCCAGTGCCCTAAGTGCCACGCCTGCCACGCAAAACGAAGGTGGATGTGAGATTGTGCCACGCCTGCCACGCAAAACGAAAGTGGATGTGAGATTGCGTCAGGCCTGCCACGCAAAACGAAAGTGGATGTGAGATTGTGCCACGCCTGCCACGTGGAACCAAAGTGGATGTGAGATTGTGCCACGCCTGCCACGCAAAGTGCCGCGGCGTCACGGGCGACCAAAACCAGCCCAAGCGCGCCACCCAGTGCCATAAGTGCCACGCCTGCCACGCCTGCCACGCCTGCCACGCCTGCCACGCAAAACGAAGGTGGATGTGAGATTGTGCCAGGCCTGCCACGCAAAACGAAAGTGGGTGTGAGATTGGGCCACGCCTCCCACGTGGAACCAAAGTGGATGTGAGATTGTGCCACGCCTGCCACGCAAAGTGCCGCGGCGTCACGGGCGACCAAAACCAGCCCAAGCGCGCCACCCAGTGCCATGAGCGCCACGCCTGCCACGCAAAACGAAGGTGGATGTGAGATTGTGTCAGGCCTGCCACGCAAAACGAAAGTGGATGTGAGATTGTGCCACGCCTGCCACGTGAAACCAAAGTGGATGCGAGATTGTGCCACGCCTGCCACGCAAAGTGCGTAAGATGGTGCGTGACATTGTGTGTGAAAGATGGTATTGTGTGACAAAAAGATGTGTTGTGACGACAAAGTGCGTGAAAGATGGTATGTGACAAAGATGGTATGTGACAGATGGTGTGTGAAAGATGGTGTGTGAAAGATGGTGTGTCGAAAGATGGTGCGTGACAAAGCTGTGTGTGAAAGATGGTATGTGACAAAGATGATGTGTGACAAAGTTGTCTGTGAATGGTGGTATGTGACAAAGATGGTATGTGACAGATGGTGTGTGAAAGATGGTGTGTCAGAAAGTTGTATGTGAAAGATGGTATGTGACAAAGATGGGTGTGAAAGATGGTGCGTGACAAAGTTGTGTGTGAAAGATGGTATGTGACAAAGATGGTGTGTGACAAAGTTGTATGTGAATGATGGTATGTGACAAAGATGGTATGTGACAGATGGTGTGTGAAAGATGGTGTGTCGAAAGATGGTGCGTGACAAAGTTGTGTGTGAAAGATGGTATGTGACAAAGATGGTGTGTGAAAGATGGTGTGTCGAAAGATGGTGCGTGACAAAGTTGTGTGTGAAAGATGGTATGTGACAAAGATGGTGTGTGACAAAGATGGTGTGTGACAGGCGGGAGGCGGGAGGCGGGAGGCGAATCAAAAACAAAACCCCACACAAAGTTGTGGGGAAAAGAAAATTAGGGGCTCCGCAGTCCCTGGTCTTCTGGGTCCCTTGTCCTCTGGTTCTATTGGTCCTCTGGTTCTTTTGGTCCCCTGGTCGCTTGGGCTTTTGGTCTCCTGGTTTTCTTGGTCTCCTGGTCTCCTAGTCCTCTTGGTCCCCTGGTCCCTTGGTCTCCTGGTCCCTGGTTGCCTGGTCCCTTGGTCTCCTGGTCCTCTGGTCTTGTGTCCTCTGGTTGCTTTAGTCAATTGGTCGCGCTGTTTGGTTCTGCTGCACCCTTGACACACGCACAAACCAGCCACCACCAACAATATTTCAAAACCCCAACGACCCTCAATAGAGGTGACAATCAAAAATGACCAACGGAGGAGCACAGAGTAGAGGAAACAATCCAATAGCAATGAACGCTCTGCCCCAGCCGCCCTCCAGCTTTTTCAACTTTTGCTGTAATAAGTTGACCTGGGTAAGCATGGTCGTTGTACACAATACATGAAAGAATTTGGATGCATCTCTCGCTCTGGTTGCTGATTCAAGTCTTCTTTTCTGGGTATCTTCACTTTGCGGCTAGTACCATTCAAAATGAATCCACAATGCTGCAAATACCTTGCCCAGTGAATTTCCCGACTTTTACAACTACCATACAACATGACAACAAAAAGGTTTGAGTTCCAAAATGCTACAAATTCCATACAACATCAGAGTTTTTGTTTCCAAACTCCAAAATACTGCGTATACACTACAAAATTAGAGTTTCTCTTTACCAAATGCTGCATATACCATTCAAAATGAAAGGTCCGAGCTCCAAAATGCTGCAAACACCATAGAAAATGAAAGGTTGTAATTAGCTGCAAAATACAACAAATGCCCTACAACATGAGGGGTTATAGCTCGAAAATGCTGCAAATACCATGTAATATTATAGTTGCCTTTCCAAAATGCGGCAAATACCATGCAAAATGTACGGTTCTATCTGCAAATTGCTGCATAGACCATGCACAATGAGAGGTTCAAACTCCAAAACGCGGTATATACTACACAAACCTAGAGGTTCCTTAAATACTTTTTCGAGCGTCTTAGGTGTTTTTTCCCAATGTCAAAACGGGGTCTGAGTCTTAAGTTTTTTCCAATGGAATTCAATCTTTTTTCCAGGTCTACCCCGCGAAGGACAAACCCCAAACTGGCACTGATCTCCCATGCTGCCAACTGCCCCTAGCAAAAAGGCGTTTAAAAGAACAAAGGCCTTTATTCCATTTTATTCCCCTGTGCTCTACGTTTTCAAACTTTGTTCAAGACAGCCGAATGCACTTTCTTGATCTGTTCATGTTTTCGACCACAACAGAAAGCTGGGCCTCGGCGGGTCTGAATCGTGGCGATGGCGAACCACCTGAAACCTTGGACGGTCACCTCGCCGTGGAATCAGGCTGCAATTTGGCTGTAGGGATTCCAAGTGCCGCCGTTCACTCTGCACAGGGGTCCGGACAAGAGACCTGGGGTACTGCGGAAACACAGCACGATGGTTTTGGCTTTTTTTTGATCACACTCTTGCTCCGCACTTCACTCACAACATCTGTGGATGATGGCATTGGCCAAGCAAGCCACGCACGCCACCTTTCTTAAGGAATCGGGAGAATTCCTCTGCTGCAACGGGCCAATTGAGCATCAGAAGCTCTTGAAGGATGTGGGCAAAGCCAAGAAGCAGCGGGCGCCGGCGACCCTAAGCCACGGAGCTGCGCTGGCATCTCTGGCATGAAATCAATCCTTTCAACAGTCTGCTACATCCAGACTCAAAGGAAGGACCGCATATTAGGCAATCATTAATTTCAAACCTCCACGAATCGAGATTCTTGAGCTATGCTTGATGGACCTCGCAAGCAGCAAACATTGGATATTCCGGAAATTGAAAACAAGAACGGAGGTGAAAGGCAATCCTGCATGCACTTACAAGATCTGCGCAATTTGAAAAAATGCGACAACAAACTCATGGGACCAAGCCCTGCCGTGCCGCTGTGCCTTTGTTTCGGGCACCGATTCGACTCTGGCGAACGCACAGGAAGCGCATGGACAACGGACAGTCTTCCCAACTTGGCAGAGCCTTCAGCCAAGACGGTGGTATCTGGAGAACGGACGCATCTGGGAGGTTAGACGTCAAATATACACCGACACTGCGGTCAGTGGAACGTGGGGAAGCTGCCCACTGTCTCCGCCAATGGGTTTCCACCCTTCTCACTGCTGCCTGATATTTAGAGGTAAGTAAACTGATATAAGTTGGGTATAGAGCTATGTGCTGGTGGCAGCGTCCAAACGCAGGCTCTGCAAAGCTCACTGATAGGTTTGCAAAGAGAGGTTTCCTTGTGTTGCAGGCACAGATTGTAGCAGCGTAGCAGCTCTGAGGCTCGAACTACAGGGTTCGACCACAATCCCTGGTTCCAATCCCTGGTTCAGAAGCTATAGCGGCCAGAAGAGCCGTGTTCCACACGAATTTCCAGGACTATGCTGCAGTTTCTCAGATAATTTTCATGACCCAAGGCACGCTTCATGCGCAACCTAAACTTCCCCCGACCAACCCACATGAAACACTTGAAACACAGGAAGCTGTTTCCGGCGATGACTTCACATTGCATCCACATGCCAACACCCTACAACCAAGTACCTGGCAGTTCTCTTTTCTGCCAGAAGTTACAAGAACAAACTCGACCGGGCCGAGCTGAGCCTCCACTTTCACGCTCACAGAGCCACAAAGTGTTTTGGGGAGTGGGTCAAACCACTCTGAACCCCGTAAGATGTCTTCAGGTTGGGCACGAAGACTTCAATGACTGCAGAGATGGTGATGGTGAAAGACTACTTCGAGCTTTGCTGGACTATGAAGACTCAACATTCAAGCCGCTCCAATTGTATAGATCTCCGGAACCTGGTTGTGAAGACGTCAGAGATAGTGACTGCGCAGGATTCTGCATGATTGCCTGCGGCTGTGCTTCGTGTGATTATCTAAATTGTGGAAAGCACATGCTTAGAAGGCGGCGTCATGGCTGCTCCAATGTGTAGGGAACATTCGTAGCAATTGAACCACTTGCTGCCCCATTTGTAGCGGCATTTTCTTTGTGATGCCGTATTGGTAGCAGCATTAACCGTTTGAATCAGGTACTGTAGTGTCGATATGGATCAAAATAATTCACTGGCACGGGTGACGCTTGGCTGTGCTATTTGTACAAAGTACTGCGAGGTGGGGCTTGCTGGCTACAGAAACAAACGCGGACACATCAGCGGAGGTCACAATTGCGGAACACATCACTTGGTGACGATCAAACTTGAGTGTCGATCGGCTTGGCCGGGTTATTGCATGGAACAGTCATGGTTCTGGCAAAAGTACCAAATCACCAGTCACATGTCATGGAGGCGCATTGGCACAGCTGCTACTGTAGCTTCTTTCGGCAGGATGCCCATATGCCATGATCTCTCAACACTGCGTGTCATGTCAGAGTGTGACAGCTCTTTAATGTCATCTTTTTGGCTGTCCCTTGCAGCAAAGTGATGTAAGGATGTAAATTGGGTGTGCTTGTTGCAGATAGTTCCGGCGCCTCTCCACTTCTCATCATACTTTTATTTTTTGACCTGTACAGTCAGAAAACGGCCGTTGCAAGCTACCAGGACGTCAAACACTAAACAGCTCCCTCTCAAGCATTCTTAACCGAACCAGTCTTGCATTCAGGCTCCTTATCTTCCAGTTTTGGCACCAAAGTTGTCAAAGAGTTTGACTTTGACAGCAACCATTGCTCTTGCGTTGCTTCAGCTTCGCTACGTCTCGCGGTGGAATGGGGCAATAATCCACCAGCCTCTGTCAAAGCTCTGAGCGGCAATTGTTCAACAATGCATACTACTGAAAACAATGAAAAACAGATGGCCTTATGGCCTTATAAAATTCAACACCCTCCGTGAGGACCTATAGAGGACCTTAAAGCCTCATCCGGCCCATGCGAAAACGATTTCCGAATCACAATCATGGGCCGAGTATAAAACGAGAACGGGTCCGGAGACTAATGCCGAAAGCCAAGAACCACTGCAGCTTCTCTTCTGTCTTGAATGGCAGCTCTTAGCAAAGCTTACATATCCCAAAGCCCAAACAGGCTGGGATCAACAAATTCAGCAGAACTGGAAAAGCTCGACAAAGCGGTGACTTTTCAAGCCATTCACCCAAATCTGCAAATTGGAGTTGCCTGGATTTGGGCGTGTCTGTGTTTCAATCTACCACTTAAGTACAGGTACTGAATGGAGGCTGGCCCACACCTCGAAGTGCAGCAGTTTGCATGTTTGTCAAAAAGCATTTTGCGCATCTTCTTGCAAGCTTCCAAGGACCCAAGTTGGGTTTCAGAAGGGTCAGGTCTCACCAAATGCGGCTTGCTTAATGAGGGGCTTGTGCTTTGGAACAAACGGGTTACTTTTTCAGGATTTGGTCATGAGTCATGACTCCTTTGGGCTGATCTTACTAAAACTGACGGAATGAGGGGGAAGAGACATACACAAAGAAGCTAGTCAAGGATTGACATGGCTTGCAAAAAATGTCAAGTTAGGCCTGCTCCCCAAACCGAGATGGAATTCACGCGGCGGCCAATACTGGCCCTCACCTGGAAGGAAGGAGCTGGAAGCCTGCGGGAAACAGCTGTTTCAAGCACCCGCACATAAAATCTGCAAATCCGTCCGACAAAACGATGCCTCGCAAACTTGGCCCTTCTTTGGAACAGGATCTGAAATCGTTGGCCAACCTCTCACAAGCCATAATCTTATTGTGAGGGCCACGACCCGTTTTAATGAACTGACAATTTGTCTGCACATGCCTAGATGGACAGCATACACTTTGCACTTCCTTGGGTCAAACCCGTGCTAACAACAAGTTTTAACCGCGATTCTCGAGCATCTTGCTTTGACCTCCAACATTCGATCAACATCAGGGTCACATGTTGGGTTTACAGGGAAAAATCTGAGACGGTCGCACATGTTCTCAGCAAGCCTGATCTCCAGGCAAATCGCCAGAAGCTGAGAGCCAAAAAAACCTGCTCATGCAGCGTGTTCCAAAATTCTTCGAGAACAACAAGTTTGCGAGGCTTAGTTGGAGGATGTTGGAGAATGGAGTCGCAAGTGTTTTTCTTGAAGCCTTAGTGGCCTCAGTGGCCTTCATTCTCTGAGGCCTCGCGGCCTCCCTGGGACAGTTTGACCGCGGTTCAAAGCTGCCCAGATTGGAGAGCTTGAGAGCTCTGGGACATATCAACAACGGAAGTATCAATCAGACACCAATAGTTTGCCGATGGCTGAAAGCTGTTTTCTATACCTGACATGTTGAGGAACATGGGATCACAGATTCAGTGCCCGCTCCGGAGCAACCATTGCCATTCAGAAAGCATAAGCAGGCCCTATTTCGTGCAAAATGCAGAAGAATTATTCTTTGAACTCATCAGGACATTTTACATCCAGAACTCCCAAGCCCCGTGCTATTGTGGTACCTTTCAGGTTTGATGCAACCCGCTCTTAGATTACATTGCATATAGACATATGAACAGGCTTACTATTGGAAGCGACTGTCCAGTCGGTCTGTGGATTGGTTCAAGTGGCCCCCTTCTGTCGCCATTACTCTTGCAGCAGCCTCGTGTCGCGGGTTTTCTCTTTGGTGCTGCCTACTCATTGCAAAACTACTTTCGCAAACCTTCACGGCTGGCTGAGTTTTTCGTACATTGTTGCGGCCGGCTGAGTTTTTCATACATTGTTGCGAAGTTAATGCATTTGAGGAACCGTGGTTTTAGTTCTTGCGAAGGTATGCTACTTGAACCGCCCTTCATCCGAAGACTTTTGGGTGTATGGATGCTGCTCGGATGGCTTCTCTCCAGTAGGGAACTGGCAGCACTGGACGACAATTTTCTTGGCAGAAGCACAATTCGTTTCGTGGTGCAACTGATGTACAACGCAAGTACAGCCAAGGGACTTGGAGTCTAGAAGGCATCCAGAGAATGCGAGTCCAACGGATATACCTTTGGTTTCAACTTGTCAACGAGGCAAAACACGCCTCTTCCTGCACTTTTTTGTCACAGTATACCGCTGCTGGGCAAACGATGCACAAATGTCGAATCAAATCTCAATCGCTACGAGTCTGGGATCGAGCTGCTTAGTTTCACCTGCTCCATGAGATTGAGAAAATGCCAAGCACCTGGGGCGAATGTGCCACACCCTTGACACTGATGGCAAAACACTCGCCCGAGGCTGCTGAAAGCCAAACGCTACACCAAAAACACAGAAGGTCGAGACAGAAAAATCTGATTACACCCTTACCACCTAATTAAATTTCTTGCAGCGCGTGAACTTGATGAGATAGAAGTTCAGCAATGTGTGAAACACAAACAAAAACAAAACACCTTTCTCACTTTCCCATACCATAACCGTGGAAGAAGATCAACATGACAAATCATGTTGCGTCTGCGAAATCTCGTACTGGCAAAAGACTTCAAGTCGTCTTCAAGAAGCCAATACGCTAAGCTGCAAAGTACAGGGATCAAACCTGCGTCGTGACAACCGTATCCTGAATTAGGGAAATAATGGCCTCAAACAGTTTGACCTTGTCACAGGTCAGTCAGATCAGTCCTAGTCCTAGTTATTTCACTCACAGATATGCGGAGTAACATCCCATCAGCGCACCAAGGCCCAGGTTCCAGCAGTAGGGCAAGCTGAAGGTGCCCAGGTAAAAGAAGCAGGTCACCAGCCTTCAACGAAAAAAAACAGCCATGCCATGCCTCACCTCTCAAAAAAAGGGACTGGGGCTTGGCCATGCCTTTGTTTCATGTTTGAAAAAATTGGGTAGCTGGTTTCAACCCTGAAAAGTATGCTCGTCATTGGGGATCATAATCCCAGGGCGAGCCCGCGCAGTCGAAATGCACATCAACATGTCACAACAGCCACTTTATGCGGAAATTTACAGGAAAAATGCCGCTGCACCGAACCGCGCCGCACACTTTGTACGAGCCTGCGCAGTCGAAATGCATATCAACATGTCACAAGAGCCACTTTATATGGAAATTTACAGTGCTTACCAAGTCCGGAAAGTGTTTTTTGGGCTCAAGACTCAAGACCCTGTGAATCCATCTGACTCGGAAGAACGTTCTCATCAAGCCTGGTTCTGGCTGCTACCCATGGCACACGGCAGCAACGCCCGGCCTGCCAACCCAATCATCCCCGAACCCTAAGTGTAGTGGCAGGTGGACTTGCCGGATTTCCACCATTACGAAGTCCTGCCTTGGGCACAACAGCTAGTCTCTTCGGGCGGAAGCCACATGTTTGTGAAATATGTGAAACTGTTCAGCCAGAGAGTGAAAGCGTCGTGAACATAATATGGACGAATATGTACGATATCATTTTGGACCATTGCAGTCTCACTGAACACTGCAGGTTATGTATGTTGTTTTTTGTGGCGCAAAAGCGCCTCGGATCGTAAGGCAACTTGATTGCCTCGAAAAAGAAAACGTCCTGCGTCCGAGGCACCAATCTAAGAACCCTGCTCCAGAACCTCTTCCAAGTCAAAGAATGTGGGCTGCAGTTGATTGCCCAAACAGGTTTGAAATGTTTGAAGACCAGCAGGTGTTCTCAAAAATCCGTTCTATGATCTACATGTGCATAGATGGGAATATTATCCAGGCAAGAGACCCCAAACAGTGTGGGGGGGTGGGAGGATCATGTATGATAATGTTGATGATGATGATGGTGGTGGTGATGATGGTGATGATGATGATGGTGGTGATGATGATGATCATGATCATGATCATGATGATGAGAATGACGATGAGGATGAGGATAAGGATGATGATGTTGAGGATGATGTTGAGGATGATGAGGTGCACGGGGATGGCAAATGAATAGGTTTTTGCCAATTTACCGTGACGATGGCAACGAGTAAAAGTTTCTGTGTGTAAAAGTTCTTCTGTGTACAAACTTTTCTGTGTAAATGTTTCTGCATGTAAAAATTCTTCTTTGCAAAAGCTTCTGTGTGTAAAAGCTCTCTGTGTAACAGCAGCAGCTCTTGTGTGTAAAACAAAATCTCTTCTGTGTAAAAGCTCTTCTAGGCTCTTCTGTGAAATAGTTTCTCTGTGTAAAAGTTAATCTGTGTAAAAGTTTCTGGGCGGATTTTTTTCTGTGCGAAAAAATTCCTTTGTAAAAGGCTCTGTAACAGCTGTGTAAAAAGTTTTCTATGTAAGTTCTTCTGTGTAAAAACCTGTTCTGTCTAAAAGCTTCTCTGTGTAAAAGTTCTTGTGTGTAAAAGCTTCTCTGTGTAGAGGCTCTTCTGTGTAAAAGTTCTTCTGTGTAAATTGCTCTTCTGTGTGCAAAAGCTCTTCTGTGTGTAAAGGCTCTTCTGTGTAAAAGCTCTTCTGTGTAAAGGCTCTTCCGTGCAAAAGCTTCTGTGTGTAAAAGCTCTTGTGTGTAAAAGTTCCTCTGCGTAAAGGTTTTCTGTCTAAAAGTTTCTCTGCGTAAAAGCTCTTCTGTGTGCAAAAGCTCTTCTGTGTGTAAAGGCTCTTCTGTGTAAAAGCTCTTCTGTGTAAAGGTTCTTCCGTGTAAAAGCTTCTGTGCGTAAAAGCTCTTCTGCGTAAAAGCTCTTCTGTGTGTAAAAGCTCTTCTGTGTAAAAGCTCTTCTGTGTAAAAGCTTCTCTTTGTAAAAGCTCTTCTGTGTAAAAACTTTTCTGTGTAAAACCTTCTGTGTGCAAAAGCTCTTCTCTGTAAAAGCTCTTCTGTGTGAAAAGTTTTGTGTGTGTAAATGCACAAGCTCAGCTCTTCCGTGTAAAAGCGCTTGTGTGTAAAAGCTCTTCTTTTTGTAAAAGTTCTCTGCACAAAAGCTCTTCTGTGTAAAGCTCTTCTGTGTAAAATGTTCTTCTGTGTGTAAAAGCTCTTCTGTGTGTAAAAGCTCTTCTGTGTGTGTGTAAAGGCTCTTCTGTGTAAAAGCTCTTCTGTGTAAAGGCTCTTCCGTGTAAAAGCTTCTGTGTGTAAAAGCTCTTCTGTGTAAAAGCTCTTCTGTGTGTAAACGCCCCTTCCCAGAACCGCGCGCCACACTTTGTGCAAGCCTGCGCAGTCGAACTGCACTTGGATGGACATTGCACAAGTGCCACTTTATACGGAAATTTACAGGAAAAATGCCGCAGACCAAAACCGCGCCGCAGACTTTGTGCGAGCCTGTGCAGTCGAAACGGACATCAACATGTCAGAAGAGCCACTTTACACGGAAATTTACAGGGAAAAGGCCGCCGGACAGAATTTCGCCCGGCCATCTTCAGTCTTGGCGTCCGGAAAAGGCGAAAGCCCTTTTTGGAGGTTTCACAAATCGCACAGTTGGGATCACCCGATTCGCAACCAACTCCTCGAAGAAGAAGTAGGTATGACCCACCACGAGTCCAAGAAGCTGGTCCTGAAAAGGGAAAAATTCCCCCCAAAGTCGTGTTCGTCGTCGTCTCAAAGTACTTTCCAATCAGCCACATCTTGGATGATCATCATGCACCCCACTTGCTGTCGGAATTCTCCAGGGTTGACGCTGACTCTAGATCTCGTACTCTTCATTTATCATGAGATTTTGAATCCTGGACGTTACCTCCCAGGAGAACCAACGGCAAAAAAATATGCCATCTGCGAAAAAAATCTCTCTTAGTTCGGCTTTCTCCACGTGCCTCCCATCAGAAGGGATAGAGAGAACCTCAGCGAGGCAATGTTCTGAAATGGACAAAAAATATATATATGGAAAAATAGATTGATTTGGGCCGGTCTGGTATACCATTCATCATTTCATTGTGCCTCTGATGTTTTGGAAAGGTCTACACATCACTCTACAAACCACTGTAAACAGAAATATGATGATGATGTTTCCCAAGTGAAACTGAGGGTTGGCCCCTCATCTAATCAACCAAGCAGTAGTCAAGTAGCCAGTAGGACAAGGCACCCAGGGCAAATATGGCGTGCGGATGGTGAAAAACAGCACCTGGCAGCATGTTTGTGATCTGGTTGATTGACCACGGGTCGAAAGCCATGTTCAAAAATCTCCCAGTGATCGCAAACAGCACACGCCCTTCAATCACTGGTAGCCTTGGGGCCTTGGGGATCACATTCGCATGACACCATCTGCAACCAACAACTCGTGTACCTGCATTCTTGCCGTTGGAGTCCGCTGGCCCCGAGATATGTCATGAGGTCAATCAGTGCTCCACTCACAAAGTACCTGGCACTGCAACAGGCGTGGAGTGGAACTTTGTTCAAAACTCTGATTAGAAGTTTACAATCCCCGGTATTTGGTATTTGGTCATCAGATTGGTAGGTCAGAAGACTCTCAGGGTCTAGAATCTGGATGTCTGAAGGAATCTCAAAATGACAACCAGCTATCCTAGAACTGGGTCATTGATGAGCGTGTTGCAAGATTCTTTGTCAAGGAGTTTTCAGAGGTAGCGCATGCACTAGTGACACCTACTCTTTCTGTTTGGTGCCTGAATCACATATCAAGCCTGCTGGGTCGTAGCCATAAGCAGGCACTCAGTCCTTCTGTGTTAAAAATCTGATGAGAAACATGGCGCACTGGCTCCCAAACAAGTAGGCCAGCACCACAATCATACCTCTCCACAACCGCAAGTTGTGTGAGTTGCTGCATGTTGCCGCAGCAAGAACAAGAGCCATGTCGACAAAAAGCGCATTTTATGCACAGCGCCTGCGCTACAGACCAGCATCCACAGGTACTCGGCCGATTTTCTTTGAAAGGCCACATCTTCCAGCCAGGAGCAATAGTGTACCTCTGTAACATTCAGGGTCTGCTCAAGATCACTTAAAGTCAAGACCTCACACGCTTTGCAACCGCCATGTCCGTAAAGCAGCCCGACCCTGTTTTCCTCTTGCTGGATGCTGTTCGCATGACGCCGCTGCATCACCTGTCACAGGGATGACGCAAAGAATGCGAAGGAGGGATGATAACAAGAATCTAGGATTCCTAGAAAACAAAATTAGGGGCTCCGCAGTCCCTGGTCCTCTGGTCCCCTGGTCCTCTCGTTCTATTGGTCCTCTGGTTCTTTTGGTCCCCTGGTCCCTTGGGCTTTTGGTCTCCCATCCACACAGGCGAAAGTTGACTCACACACACAGGCGTTTTTGACTCACACACACAGGCGAAAGTAGGGTCACACACACAGGCGTTTTCATTAATGAACCCACAACCACCATGAACATGGGGTGGGGTGGGGTGGGGTAATAACGTTCACTTTCGCTTGCAAACACACGCACTGAGCTGGGGTCGGGCTTTGGTTGGGTGGGGCGGGGTGGGGGTATAACTTCAGTTTCGCTTGCCAAACACACGCACTAAAGCGGGGTCCGGGGCTTTTGGTTGGGTGGGTGTGGTTGTGGGTTTTGTGTGTAAAATCACGTTCAACTTTTTCCGCTTGCAACAAACACACGCACTGAGCTGGGGTCGGGCTTTGGTTGGGTGGGGCGGGGTGGGGCAGGGTAACCTTCTCCGCTGTTATTTTACCCCTTTGAATTAAGTGAGAGTGTTGGTGTTGACAATTTTATAGTGATAATTCTGGAGACGCTGACCCTCTTTCTGAAAATACATCTATAGAATCAGAGACCCCAAGGTATTTTCAAGTTGACAATCTCTATAGAATTGCTGTCATTGAGGTCGTTTATGAGCATCATTTTCTATACACTCTCGTAGGGTCTTTTTTAGGTTGGGGGGGTTAGTTGGCCTTCTATAAAATCAGACTCCCCAAATATCATTCATTGACAGCTGACCTGAATGCTCCACTTGCTCTTGCCTAGCTTACCTTATGCATTTCCAAATTTATAGGGCTCAAAGGCTCCAAGTGTTCGAAGTCAACCTCTTTGATTTTATAGACTTGTGAAAAATGCTTGAAAGATCTTGACAGTTGCTCTGTTTCATTTTGTTTCCATCTGTTTCCATCCGCTTCCTTTTTTTAAATCCTCGCTGCTCTGGTATCTGCCAATACTTCTCTATAGAATTGAAGAACATGACATATATCCAAAGAAAACATATCCCACTATAGAATCGCAGTCCCTAAGACTCTCTGCTGACTAGTACTCAGTGCTGTATTCAACATGAAATCTCTATAGAATCAGAGACCCCAAGCTCCTCCATAAAATTGAAAGCGTTGACATTGAGTAGGTACCCCTAAACAAAGCAGGGGTTAAAACACATCATTTTCCAGGACTTAACGTTCCTGATTCTATAGAGGAAATTCCAAGAGGGATTTTAAAAGAACAAAGACCTTTATTCCATTTTATTCCCCTGTGCTCTACGTTTTCAAACTTTGCTCAAGACAGCCGAATGCACTTTCTTGATCTGTTATGATCTATTCATGTTTTCGACCACAACAGAAAGCTGGGCCTCGGCGGGTCTGAATCGTGGCGATCATGGCGAACCACCTGAAACCTTGGACGGTCACCTCGCCGTGGAATCAGGCTGAAATGTCGCTGTAGAGATTCCAAGTGCCGCCGTTCACTCTGCACAGGGGTTCGGATAAGAGTCCTGGGGTACTGCGGCAGCACAGCACGATGGTTTTGGCTTTTTTTTGATCACACTCTTGCTCCGCACTTCACTCACAACATCTGTGGATGATGGCATTGGCCAAGCAAGCCACGCACGCCACCTTTCTTAAGGAATCGGGAGAATTCCCCTGCTGCAACAGGCCAATTGAGCATCAGAAGCTCTTGAAGGATGTGGGCAAAGCCAAGAAGCAGCGGGCGCCGGCGACCCTATGCCACGGAGCTGCGCTAGCATCGGCATGAAATCAATCCTTTCAACAGTCTGCTACATCCAGACTGAAAGGAAGGACCGCACATTCGGTAATTATTAATTTCAAACCTCCACGAATCGAGATTCTTGAGCTATGCTTGATGGACCTCGCAAGCAGCAAACATTGGATATCTTCCGGAAACTGAAAACAAGAACGGAGGTGAAAGGCAATCCTGCATGCACTTACAAGATCTGCGCAAATTGAAAAAGTGCGACAACAAACTCATGGGACCAAGCCCTGCCATGCCGCTGTGCCTTTGTTTCGGGCACCGATTCGACTCTGGCGAACGCACAGGAAGTGCATGGACAACGGACAGTCTTCCCAACTTGGCAGAGCCTTCAGCCAAGACGGTGGTATCTGGAGAACGGACGCATCTGGGAGGTTAGACGTCAAATATACACCGACACTGCGGTCAGTGGAACGTGGGGAAGCTGCCCACTGTCTCCGCCAATGGGTTTCCACCCTTCTCACTGCTGCCTGATATTTAGAGGTAAGTAAACTGATATAAATTGGGTATATGTGCTGGTGGCAGCGTCCAAACGCAGGCTCTGCAAAGCTCACTGATAGGTTTGCAAAGAGAGGTTTCCTTGTGTTGCAGGCACAGATTGTAGCAGCGTAGCAGCTCTGAGGCTCGAACTACAGGGTTCGACCACAATCCCTGGTTCCAATCCCTGGTTCAGAAGCTATAGCGGCCAGAAGAGCCGTGTTCCACACGAATTTCCAGGACTATGCTGCAGTTTCTCAGATAATTTTCATGACCCAAGGCACGCTTCATGCGCAACCTAAACTTCCCCCGACCAACCCACATGAAACACTTGAAACACAGGAAGCTGTTTCCGGCGATGACTTCACATTGCATCCACATGCCAACACCCTACAACCAAGTACCTTGCTGTTCTCTTTGCTGCCAGAAGTTACAAGAACAAACTCGACCGGGCCGAGCTGAGCCTCCACTTTCACGCTCACAGAGCCACAAAGTGTTTTGGGGAGTGGGTCAAACCACTCTGAACCCCGTAAGATGTCTTCAGGTTGGGCACGAAGACTTCAATGACTGCAGAGATGGTGATGGTGAAAGACTACTTCGAGCTTTGCTGGACTATGAAGACTCAACATTCAAGCCGCTCCAATTGTATAGATCTCCGGAACCTGGTTGTGAAGACGTCAGAGATAGTGACTGCGCAGGATTCTGCATGATTGCCTGCGGCTGTGCTTCGTGTGATTATCTAAATTGTGGAAAGCAAATGCTTAGAAGGCGCCGTCATGGCTGCTCCAATGTGTAGGGAACATTCGTAGCAATTGAACCACTGCCCCATTTGTAGCGGCATTTTCTTTGTGATGCCCTATTGGTAGCAGCATTAACCGTTTGAATCAGGTACTGTAGTGTCGATATGGATCAAAATAATTCACTGGCACGGGTGACGCTTGGCTATGTTATTTGTACAAAGTACTGCGAGGTGGGGCTTGCTGGCTACAGAAACAAACGCGGACACATCAGCGGAGGTCCCAATTGCGGAACACATCACTTGGTGACGATCAAACTTGAGTGTCGATCGGCTTGGCCGGGTTATTGTATGGAACAGTCATGGTTCTGGCAAAAGTACCAAATGACCAGTCACATGTCATGGAGGCGCATTGGCACAGCTGCTAGCTTCTTTCGGCAGATGCCCATATGCCATGATCTCTCAACACTGCGTGTCATGTCAGAGTGTGACAGCTCTTTAATGTCATCTTTTTGGCTGTCCCTGGCAGCAAAGTGATGTAAGGATGTAAATTGGGTGTGCTTGTTGCAGATAGTTCCGGCGCCTCTCCACTTCTCATCATACTTATATTTTTTGACCTGTACAGTCAGAAAACGGCCGTTGCAAGCTACCAGGACGTCAAACACTAAACAGCTCCCTCTCAAGCATTCTTAACCGAACCAGTCTTGCATTCAGGCTCCTTATCTTCCAGTTTTGGCACCAAAGTTGTCAAAGAGTTTGACTTTGACAGCAACCATTGCTCTTGCGTTGCTTCAGCTTCGCTACATCTCGCGGTGGAATGGGGCAATAATCCACCAGCCTCTGTCAAAGCTCTGAGCGGCAATTGTTCAACAATGCATACTACTGAAAAACAATGAAAAACAGATGGCCTTATGGCCTTATAAAATTCAACACCCTCCGTGAGGACCTATAGAGGACCTTAAAGCCTCATCCGGCCCATGCGAAAAGGATTTCCGAATCACAATCATGGGCCGAGTATAAAACGAGAACGGGTCCGGAGACTAATGCCGAAAGCCAAGAACCACTGCAGCTTCTCTTCTGTCTTGAATGGCAGCTCTTAGCAAAGCTTACATATCCCAAAGCCCAAACAGGCTGGGATCAACAAATTCAGCAGAACTGGAAAAGCTCGACAAAGCGGTGACTTTTCAAGCCTTTCACCCAAATCTGCAAATTGGAGTTGCCTGGATTTGGGCGTGTCTGTGTTTCAATCTACCACTTAAGTACAGGTACTGAATGGAGGCTGGCCCACACCTCGAAGTGCAGCAGTTTGCATGTTTGTCAAAAAGCATTTTGCGCATCATCTTGCAAGCTTCCAAGGACCCAAGTTGGGTTTCAGAAGGGTCAGGTCTCACCAAATGCGGCTTGCTTAATGAGGGGCTTGTGCTTTGGAACAAACGGGTTACTTTTTCAGGATTTGGTCATGAGTCATGACTCCTTTGGGCTGATCTTACTAAAACTGACGGAATGAGGGGGAAGAGACATACACAAAGAAGCTAGTCAAGGATTGACATGGCTTGCAAAAAAATGTCAAGTTAGGCCTGCTCCCCAAACCGAGATGGAATTCACGCGGCGGCCAATACTGGCCCTCACTTGGAAGGAAGGAGCTGGAAGCCTGCGGGAAACAGCTGTTTCAAGCACCCGCACATAAAATCTGCAAATCCGTCCGACAAAACGATGCCTCGCAAACTTGGCCCTTCTTTGGAACAGGATCTGAAATCGTTGGCCAACCTCTCACAAGCCATAATCTTATTGTGAGGGCCATGACCCGTTTTAATGAACTGACAATTTGTCTGCACATGCCTAGATGGACAGCATACACTTTGCACTTCCTTGGGTCAAACCCGTGCTAACAACAAGTTTTAACCGCGATTCTCGAGCATCTTGCTTTGACATCCAACATTCGATCAACATCAGGGTCACATGTTGGGTTTACAGGGAAAAATCTGAGACGGTCGCACATGTTATCTCAGCAAGCCTGATCTCCAGGCAAATCGCCAGAAGCTGAGAGCCAAAATACCCTGCTCATGCAGTGTGTTCCGAAATTCTTCGAGAACGACAAGTTTGTGAGGCTTCGTTGGAGGATGTTGGAGGATGGAGTCGCAAGTGTTTTTCTTGAAGCCTTAGTGGCCTCAGTGGCCTTCATTCTCTGAGGCCTCGCGGCCTCCCTGGGACAGTTTGACCGCGGTTCAAAGCTGCCCAGATTGGAGAGCTCGAGAGCTCTGGGACATATCAACAACGGAAGTATCAATCAGACACCAATAGTTTGCCGATGGCTGAAAGCTGTTTTCTATACCTGACATGTTGAGGAACATGGGATCACAGATTCAGCGCCCGCTCTGGAGCAACCACTGCCATTCAGAAAGCATAAGCAAGCCCTATTTCGTGCAAAATGCAGAAGAATTATTCGTTGAACTCATCAAGACATTTTACATCCGGAACTCCCAAGCCCCCTGCTATTGTGGTGCCTTTCAGGTTTGATGCAACCCGCTCTTAGATTACATTGCATATAGAATCATATAGACATATGAACAGGCTTAATATGGGGGCGACTGTCCAGTCGGTCTGTGGATTGGTTCAAGTGGCCCCCTTCTGTCGCCATTACTCTTGCAGCAGCCTCGCATCGCGGGTTTTCTCTTTGGTGGTGCCTACTCATTGCAAAACTACGTTCGCAAACCTTCACGGCTGGCTGAGTTTTTCGTACATTGTTGCGGCCGGCTGAGTTTTTCATACATTGTTGCGAAGTTAATGCATTTGAGGAACCGTGGTTTTAGTTCGTGCGAAGGTATGCTACTTGAACCGCCCTTCATCCGAAGACTTTTGGGTGTTTGGATGCTGCTCGGATGACTTCTCTCCAGTTGGGAACTGGCAGCACTGGACGACAATTTTCTTGGAAGAAGCACAGTTCGTTTCGTGGTGCAACTGATGTACAACGCAAGCACAGCCAAGGGATCTGGAGTCTATAGAAGGTATCCAGAGAATGCGAGTCCAACGGATATACCTGATACCTTTGGTTTCAACTTGTCAGCGGGGCAAAACACGCCTCTTCCTGCACTTTTTTATCACAGTATACTACGCTTCTGGGCAAACAATGCACAAATATGCACAAATGTCGAATCAAATCTCAATCGCTACGAGTCTGGGATCGAGCTGCTTAGTTTCACCTGCTCCATGAGATTGAGAAAATGCCAAGCACCTGGGGCGAATGTGCCACACCCTTGACACTGATGGCAAAACACTCGCCCGAGGCCGCTGAAAGCCAAACGCTACACCAAAAAACACCAGGTCGAGACAGAAAAATCTGATTACACCCTTACCACCTAAATTTTTGATGAGATAGAAGTTCAGTACTGTGTGAAACACGAAAACAAAACACCTTTCTCACTTTCCCATACCATGACCGTGGAAGAAGATCAACATGACAAATCATGTTGCGTCTGCGAAATCTCGTACTGGCAAAAGATTTCAAGTCGTCTTCAAGAAGCCAATACGCTAAGCTGCAAAGTACAGCGATCAAACCTGCGTCGTGACCAATACCCCAACCTTGGACGATAAGCAACATGGAACAACCGTATCCTGAATTAGGGAAATAATGGCCTCAAACAGCTTGACCTTGTCACACATCAGTCAGATCAATCCTAGCTATTTCACTCACAGATATGCGGAGTAACATCCCATCAGCGCACCAAGACCCAGCTTCCAGCAGTAGGGCAAGCTGAAGGTGCCCAGGTAGAAGAAGCTGGTCACCAGCCTTGAACGAAAAAAAACAGCCATGCCATGCCTCAACTCTCAAAAAAAGGGAAAGGGGCTTGGCCATGCCTCCGTTTCATTTTTGAAAAAAACTGGGTAGCTGGTTTCAACCCTGAAAAGTATGCTCGTCATTGGGGATCATCATCCCAGTGCGAGCCCGCGCAGTCAAAATGCACATCAACATGTCACAAGAGCCACTTTCTGCGGAAATCTACAGGAAAAATGAAGCGCGTCGAAATATTGAAGCATTGGAGCATTGGTTTAAAGCCACCTCAGTTTGAAGGAACATCGATCCAAGATGCTCCAAGAATCAGGTTCTGTACATTTCTGGACCATGAATGGCCATGTTGAATCATCCCTGAGGCAAAAAGATAGGACAAAAAATGGAAAAAAGAGAGAGGAAGATAGACGAAGTCTCTGTGTCCTTTTCAGTTTTCTTACTCAACTTGAAGCAGAAACTTCATCCCAAAACATGTCTGTTACTGTGTGCATGTGGGTGTGTTGGCACCTCTCATCACATTGCTTCAGCGGACTGATATGACAAGGTTACATGTCCTCATGAGCACCAGGTTCCCAACAATCCGTCGAAGCAAGGATTTCGAGTGCCTTTCGATCTCAGACCACAGTCGATCACACACTACCAATGTCAATTTGTAGCATTCCTATCTGAAGATACCGCCGCGCCGCGCATAAGAAAAAGAAGTGGAAGAGGCAAAGATACAACAACTCGACAGAATACAAACAAAGACAACGAACCATGAGACAAAACCAACGAAATTTAAACAACAATACTAATTCTAATGCAAAAAACAATATAGAGGTGATGTTCGTCTCAGTCCAACCGCGGACTGTTCCGAGCTCAAGAGATGTGGAGATTTCGGAAGCATAAGTCACCATGTGTGGTCCACGGCCGGACCATACCCAAAAGATTTCACAAAAATGTTTCGAAAAGTGGGATGAAAGATGATGAAAGCCAACTGAGCCAACTTTTCCTGCCTTAGCAGGCCACACGGCAAAGGTTTCTGCCGTAGACTGCAGGGGCAACGTTCACCTCAGGTTGCAGGAATATCAATCTGGGAATGGATTTAATATAACATGATTAAACCACCCCTAACGGTCAAATCTTGTGGAATCTGTCTGTGGAATCTAGTTGCGCCAGGTTCCGGGCTGCTGGAGCGACTCGCGAAATCCAAGGGCCTGTCATCGGTGTGTTTAACTTGAAACCAATATTTCGCTCCACACCACACACCACCATTCGCGACAGGAGCCCATTCACCTTTCAGGAGTTTCCAAACCTCTTAGTGGATTGAGTCTCCATACAATATCATTTCATTGTTCGTATTTCTGCTCATATGCACGACACACACCATGCACATTACTACGCGGTGCATTTCGGCTCTACCCCGGGAATGCCCGAAATAGCCTCCACAGCGAGGAACCATCGACGCCCTGCTGCATCACACAGGCATCGGCAGCACTGACTGTGGGGGTGGCGGCATCCCTGGCGTGGTGAGGGTGGAGCCCGGAGGGCCTCTGCCACCATGGCTGCCACCCCGGGGACACCGTTGCCAGCTCCGGCATCTGGGTGGAGGGGCAGGGGAAAGGCCAAATGCGCAGGTGGGCAAGGGATGTGGTGGGAGGGTTCCGGGCGGCAGCTTGGAAGTAAACCACTCGGGGCCGAAGCTTGGGAGAGGGCTCATTGACCCAACTTTCCCGTCTTGCACACCTGGCCAGCGATGATATAATGTGACAGGGCAATATGGTGCCAAAGTTATGATATGTTCTATAATGACTCTAATGATTGTCCAGTCAAATGCCTGTTGTCTGTTTCGGTCCGCTGACAGTAGGATATGGAGTTCAAAGGTACTTTTAGGATTTCGTAGGTAGCACTCAGTTCGTGTTTTTCTGATGTCCACCGCCTGTTATCAGCTAGAAGCATGGTACTGCGGCTCTCATAACTTACCTGTTTCGAGGGAGTCGCATGGAGTCACCACCCGGACCTTTCGGTTGGAAGGTCACCATCTTCTCAATCTCGTTCGTCAGTCCAAAGCCTTGGCTTCAAGTTTGAATGATGGGGTGGGCACGCCGGGCAGCTTGGGCAAGTTGAGCACTGCCTTACATTTTGAGCAACTCACAAGTCACTTAGAACAACAGCGAAAAAAATCACTCAAAAGGTAAAACCACGCAAAACCATGTAAAACAACTGCCCAAGCAAAGGAAACAAAAGCTGTTTGGCTGTGGGGGCTAGTCTGGGCATGGCGCACTGGCTCCCAAACAAGTAGGCCAGCACCACAATCACACCTCTCCACAACCGCAAGTCGTGTGAGTTGCTGCATGTTGCCGCAGCAAGAACAAGAGCCATGTCGACAAAAAGCGCATTTTATGCACAGCGCCTGCGCTACAGACCAGCATCCACAGGTACTCGGCCGATTTTCTTTGAAAGGCCACATCTTCCAGCCAGGAGCAATAGTGTACCTCTGTAACATTCAGGGTCTGCTCAATATCACTTAAAGTCAAGACCTCACACGCCTTTTGCAACCGCCATGTCCATGAAGCAGCCCGACCCTGTTTTCCTCTTGTTGGATGCTGTTCGCATGACGCCGCTGCATCACCTGTCACAGGGATGACGCAAAGAACGCGAAGGAGGGATGATAACAAAAACCTAGGATTCCTAGAATTAAAGGACCGGATAACCCCACAAGTCAACTTCTCCCAATAATGAGCATCAAAGGTTGTAGCAGGGACGGGAAAGGAAAGGGAAAGGAGGCGGTGAAGGATCGAGAAGTTAAAACAGTTGTGTGTGACAAAGTGGAATGTGAAAGATGGTGTGTGTGACAAAGCAAAGAAGGTATGTGAAAAGATAGTATGCATGTATGTATGTATGTATGTATGTATGTATGTATGCATGTATGCATGTATGTATGTATGTATGTGTGTGACAAAGTTGTGTGTGAAAGATGGCATAAGAAACCACTGGATGTGAGATTGTGCCACGCCTGCCACGCAAAACGAAAGTGGATGTGAGATTGTGCCACGCCTGCCACGTGGAACCAAAGTGGATGTGAGATTGTGCCACGCCTGCCACGCAAAGTGCTGCGGCGTCACGGGCGACCAAAACCAGCCCAAGCGCGCCACCCAGTGCCATAAGTGCCACGCCTGCCACGCCTGCCACGCCTGCCACGCCTGCCACGCCTGCCACGCCTGCCATGCAAAACGAAGGTGGATGTGAGATTGTGCCAGGCCTGCCACGCAAAACGAAAGTGGGTGTGAGATTGGGCCACGCCTCCCACGTGGAACCAAAGTGGATGTGAGATTGTGCCACGCCTGCCACGCAAAGTGCCGCGGCGTCACGGGCGACCAAAACCAGCCCAAGCGCGCCACCCAGTGCCCTAAGTGCCACGCCTGCCACGCAAAACGAAGGTGGAGGTGAGATTGCGCCACGCCTGCCACACAAAACGAAAGTGGATGCGAGATTGCGCCACGCCTGCCACGTGAAACCAAAGTGGATGCGAGATTGTGCCACGCCTGCCACGCAAAGTGCCACGGCGTCACGGGCGACCAAAACCAGCCCAAGCGCGCCACCCAGTGCCCTAAGTGCCACGCCTGCCACGCAAAACGAAGGTGGATGTGAGATTGTGCCACGCCTGCCACGCAAAACGAAAGTGGATGTGAGATTGCGTCAGGCCTGCCACGCAAAACGAAAGTGGATGTGAGATTGTGCCACGCCTGCCACGTGGAACCAAAGTGGATGTGAGATTGTGCCACGCCTGCCACGCAAAGTGCCGCGGCGTCACGGGCGACCAAAACCAGCCCAAGCGCGCCACCCAGTGCCATAAGTGCCACGCCTGCCACGCCTGCCACGCCTGCCACGCCTGCCACGCCTGCCACGCCTGCCATGCAAAACGAAGGTGGATGTGAGATTGTGCCAGGCCTGCCACGCAAAACGAAAGTGGGTGTGAGATTGGGCCACGCCTCCCACGTGGAACCAAAGTGGATGTGAGATTGTGCCACGCCTGCCACGCAAAGTGCCGCGGCGTCACGGGCGACCAAAACCAGCCCAAGCGCGCCACCCAGTGCCATGAGCGCCACGCCTGCCACGCAAAACGAAGGTGGATGTGAGATTGTGTCAGGCCTGCCACGCAAAACGAAAGTGGATGTGAGATTGTGCCACGCCTGCCACGTGAAACCAAAGTGGATGCGAGATTGTGCCACGCCTGCCACGCAAAGTGCCGCGGCGTCACGGGCGACCAAAACCAGCCCAAGCGCGCCACCCAGTGCCATGAGTGCCACGCCTGCCACGCAAAACCAAGGTGGATGTGAGATTGTGCCACGCCTGCCACGCAAAACGAAAAGGTATAAGGACTGTGAGATTTTTTGTGCGCACGTCCCTCGCCACTGGAACCAAGTGTATGTCGACAGAATGTGCCACGCCTGCCACGCAAAGTGTAAGATGGTGCGTGACATGTTTGTGAAATGTATGTGACAAAGATGGTATGTGACAGATGGTGTGTGAAAGATGGTGTGTGAAAGATGGTGTGTCGAAAGATGGTGTGTCGAAAGATGGTGCGTGACAAAGCTGTGTGTGAAAGATGGTATGTGACAAAGATGGTGTGTGACAAAGTTGTCTGTGAATGGTGGTATGTGACAAAGATGGTATGTGACAGATGGTGTGTGAAAGATGGTGTGTCAGAAAGTTGTATGTGAAAGATGGTATGTGACAAAGATGGGTGTGAAAGATGGTGCGTGACAAAGTTGTGTGTGAAAGATGGTATGTGACAAAGATGGTGTGTGACAAAGTTGTATGTGAATGATGGTATGTGACAAAGATGGTATGTGACAGATGGTGTGTGAAAGATGGTGTGTCGAAAGATGGTGCGTGACAAAGTTGCGTGTGAAAGATGGTATGTGACAAAGATGGTGTGTGAAAGATGGTGTGTCGAAAGATGGTGCGTGACAAAGTTGTGTGTGAAAGATGGTATGTGACAAAGATGGTGTGTGACA